CACAGATGGTCGCCGATACAGTATAATCGGACGGTACTATTGAGATTCAGGCCGCTAATGTTGTGACGTGCTTCTGGAAAGCGGCGGCACTTCTTCCCAATGGTCAAAATGAGACTGTATATGAAGATACGACTGGGAAAGTGTTCCCTACTACCTGATTACCATCGGGATTCCGTGGTTGAATGTGATACGGTGTATGTATGGGAGTCCCGGAGTTGTCAATATTGATTGCGCATTCAATATCATCCATGACCCAATATCTCGATGGTCATGGTAGGTCAGTCCCTAAGGCCGATCCCGCGTGTTTCTCCCCCACGCAGAATGTTCGTTCGTGTGCGTGGGCAGGATGCATACCGATGCTCCCCGGATTTCAGCGACACATGCTTCATTCCATTGCCATACGTGGCTACCCTTTGTTATGTAATTCGCTCAAACTTAACCCGTCGGCCGGTGATCATGCGATACTTCGGGTAAGGATTGTCGCCCTCGCTTCTCTGCAATGTCGATCTATCAGCGTCACAGGCCATTTAGGTCAGCACGTTTTTATCGCCGTCGTTGTAGGAGAATCCAAGGGGACTTGTGGCGGAACGGCCATGAAGGGGGGATTGATTCCCATGGTTGAGAGATGTATCAGATTTCTCTAAGGTTTGATTGCCATTTTGTCGGGTAAGAAGTTGAAAAGATGATAGAGCAGATACCGAATCTGCATGCAGTGATGGTCTGATCCTTCGCTCTGACTCCGCATATTGTTTGTCTCGACGGAAGGAAACGAAATGCAAGTGATAAGAATCCTTCGGAAAAAGAAAAAGAAAGATAGCCAGGATTATAATTATTGTTCATAATTTGATAATTAGGGATTGTGGTCATTCTTTTGCAGGTAATGTATGTATGGATGGAAGTAGGTATGTACAGGTACTTATCAACCTCGGTGTAACTTTGAAAGCACGTTCGTCAAAGAAGATTAAACCCATGTCTGGTGGGACCCATGGTTCTTTGTTTTCGGTCCGTCTTGACGAGCGCGGGGTCAACAACACTTAGCAACGGACACCAACGGTTTCTACGGCAGATTCGGTGGCGATAAGAGCCACAATGCCAAGCTCGCTCGCCACAGAGACTGTGGCTGGTGTCCAGCCCACGAGGCGGTGTAACTTCTGACGTGACGTCGACGTACATGTACATTTTGCCTGGGCTGACCAGGATTCCGTGCCATTGGATCCATTGGTCGCTCAACCAGATCCCAACACCTTTCTCGACCAGATCATCTTACCATCCATCATGAACCATATCCAACAATGAACTCATCGGAGAAGTCTGCGGTTTGCGACATCTACGATCCCACTTTGATCCCGGACCATGACCGAGAATTCATAGACCCCGATGACTTGCGCCAATTCGAGAATGCGCTGAATGACAACGAATCCAACTCCTTGGTAGCCCTGAACGACTGGCGGCCTATTTATCAACGAGTTCGGAAGAATCGCGGTCGTCGAAAAAAGCCTCGCCGAACCACCGATGAAACGAGGGAAGGTGTCCTGTACACCGTCCTGAAATGGCCATTTCTTTTCATCGTGTTTGGCTGGATTACCGTCCTTGGTTTCGCCTACGCGTTAACCCGCTTTTACATCGTATTATATGAAAGATGGGTGTCCTGGAGGGGCAAGAAGGAATCTCTCAGGAGGGAACTTTGGAAGCAGACAGATTACAACGATTGGTTGAAAGCCGCCCAAGCGCTCGATAACCACTTGGGAAACCAGCAGTGGAAGGAGATCGATGAATATGCCTACTATGATCATCTCACCATCAACAAACTGGTCAATCAGTTAAGAAAGGCGCGGACAGATGTCGAACTGCAGATGCGAAATGGGGTTTCCAGCTCGACTGTGACCTCTGCGACCGAGGAACTATGTGCGCTGCTGGAGGGCTGTGTCAAGAACAACTTCGCCGGGGTGGAAAACCCTCGACTCTATAGTGAAACATATTCCGGAACTAAGAACCTTGTGCAGGAGTATATCGATGAAGTGGAGAAGTGCATCCAGGTGGTATCGAGCAACAAGCGGGTCAGCAGTGAAGACAAGTATCAGCATTTCAAGCATCTGGATACCAATTTTGGACGGACTGCCCTTTGCCTATCTGGAGGTGCCACGTTTGCTTACTATCATTTCGGCGTGGCTAGGGCATTGCTAGATAACGGAGTCCTGCCCGAAATCATAACGGGAACGTCGGGAGGAGCTTTGGTCGCTGCCTTAATCGCGACCAGGACTGATGAAGAGTTGAAGCAACTCCTCGTCCCTGCTCTGGCACATCGTATACGGGCGAGTAGTGAGGGCATGGCCTCATGGGTTTGGCGTTGGTGGCGGACAGGAGCTCGGTTTGACACTATTACATGGGCTCGTGAGTGTAGTTGGTTCTGCAGGGGATCCACTACCTTTAAAGAGGCATACGAACGGACAGGACGTATATTGAACGTTTCGTGTGTGCCATCCGACCCTCATTCTCCTACAATCTTGGCCAATTACCTGACTTCTCCGAATTGCGTCATTTGGAGCGCCGTGCTGGCCTCAGCCGCGGTCCCTGGTATCCTCAATCCCGTTGTCCTGATGACCAAGAAGCGCGACGGTACACTCGCTCCGTACTCCTTTGGACATAAGTGGAAAGATGGTAGCTTGCGCACTGATATCCCCATCAGGGCGTTAAATCTTCACTTCAACGTCAACTTCCCTATTGTTTCACAGGTAAGACAGTTGCTCTCTCGGAAGAACCGTCAAGTATAGGAGATCTCACGTCTATTAGGTGAACCCTCATATCAATCTCTTTTTCTTCAGTTCTCGCGGATCCGTTGGTCGCCCGGTTACACATCGAAGAGGCCGAGGGTGGCGCGGCGGTTTCCTGGGGTCTGCTATAGAACAGTATATCAAGTTGGATATGAACAAATGGCTTAGAGTCCTGCGACACTTAGAACTGCTACCGCGACCGCTGGGCCAAGATTGGAGCGAGATTTGGCTTCAGAAATTCAGTGGTACCATAACGATCTGGCCCAAGACCATCCCGTCTGATTTCTACTATATCCTTTCGGACCCTACACCTGAGCGGCTGGCACGCATGCTTAACGTGGGCCAGCAGAGCGCCTTTCCCATGATACAGTTCATCAAGAACCGGCTCAAAATCGAAAATGCAATCTTAAAGGGGCTACATCAATACTCCCCAGCAGTGTCACGGTCGCAATCCCGTCGGAGTCGCGGTCATGCCCGCAAGCCTTCGAATCCGATGGTAGAACGTCTTGACCATAATCTCCCCGATCGTCAGCCTGACAACAAAGAGGATTTATCAGATAGCTCGGGCGTTGACTCCAATGTGTCGTCTCGCGATTCTTCTCGTCTACAACCACCGAGCAGCCGACACAACCGACGGAGAAGCACGGGAAACATTTTCCAGGAGATGCGCCGGCAGTCAGCTGTCTTCTTCGACGACTCTGATCTATACGCGGAAGACGACAAAAAGGCCGAGTGATCACTTATCGCGTCTTTCTTTTTCTCTCTATTTGCCCTTACCCTTTGCATTAGATGGCGTTGAACTACATCATACCACCACATTTACCTAGAGCAGTATCTACTATTCCTTGGATTCCGTGTACATTATTTACCTTGTATCAGGGTTGAGAAGGGCTTTCACGTATAATTCCTGTTAATACATATCTTTTAAAGGCGTGATCTCGAACACTAGTCTTCTATATGACCCACGAATATCTGCTCCCTCTGGTATAATTTTTCGTATAAAGGTCAGGAATGCCGTACTCGGGAACTTATTCATCTTGAGGAGTACCATCCAGACGATCAAAGTGGACACTGCGACTGCCAATGCTGGTGTATGAGGAGTAGATCAGCGAGGGGGAAACCAAAGGCAGAGCAGTTTCAGATCACAATGTGATGGAGTACTGATACTATATAGTAAGTGTGATGTTCATCCTCACCGACCAATACATTGCAGTTACTTGATACCCCCATACTCACTTGCATAATGAGGCTAGTGTAGCCCAACATGAATGGTCACTGTTGGATAGACCGTAACTGCTTGCTCTTTTTCCTCTGTCGCTGCAGTAATACCAGCCACCTCCAAGGGTCATAAAGATCCGGTGAGAGCAGGGTAGGGAAGCTAACATCCAGAGAACCAGGAGAGTCATTACCAAATGTTAGAAACGCAATCTGATACGGAAATATGATCCCGTTAGCTTATTCAACGGTAGGAAGAGAAAAGATGAGACTCCTACCCAATTCTTCCTGCATCTATGGCCCTGCCGCCAGCCATTGTGAACACTTTTAAAACTACATTAGAAAGCATTGCTAAACCCTAATATTGGGATACTTAGTATCCCTTGGTATATTAATCCTTCCATCATCGAACGTCCTCCAATAGAGTCCATAAGTTACCATTCAAGAAGTAAACGCAGACGGGGGAGTAGTACCGACCACCATGCGTAGATATCTAGATAAGTGCAGAGTCATTCAGAAACCAACCCTAGTTTCATAGATACCGGATCTTCGTGGAAGTAACGCTGTCTCTTGCAGCGTTTATACGACCGCTTCTGAGGCATGCTATGTTGTACGGTATCGGATTACTGGTAGTTAGTTCCTTGTACTGATTTGATAATTCTTGTGCTGTTCAGAAGTGGGCGTCTCTCGCTTTGAGATCACTCCTTTCTCAGCTGCTCTTTTCCGGCGTTCTCTGTCCTTGAGCTCATATTCAATAAAGAACTGAAGATTGTTTGGTATAGAAATAAACCCGGGGTCGATGAACCAGGGACACCAGGTATATAGTAGCAAAGCTACCGTACTACTCAGATCCCAGTTGTACCAACCGACCCAACAAGTGCTGGTGGGCCGACATCCACTCTATTGCCTCCTGTTCCTGATTCTTTATTAACTCCTGTGGATCATGGACCGGCCATCGGTCTGTCGGGAATCCGTATCCAGCATGGGTCTGTAATTCCGATTCAATAATCTCATCGATAGTCTGCACTGTTGCATGGTACTTGCGACTCGGTCCTTCGGGATCAAATGGAAACCCCAGGTCTCTGATCGCGCCTGTCACAAGTCGTAGTAAGACAAACTGTGTATTGGGCAGTTCTCTGCCTGTAAGTTGTAGATTTTTGATCTCTGGTGTTTGAGCCTATCCCTGCCGTACATTGACCTTTAGATCGATACAATGGAGGACAAGGACGATTACTCCAACACGGTGGGGCGCTAAAGTACTGTGCGAACTGCTTCTTTTCTTTTCTACAACTCGAACGGGCCGAGCCTTTCTCTGTCCTCTAATGGTAGGTATCATGGATCTCCCTGTTGAACTTCGGGACGTTTTTGCTGAGGGAACCCAAATTGGGAATCCTCCAGGCGGTATCTTGGCTTAGTCGAGGCATTGACTCAGATACCCCAGCCTCAATGGCTAGCAACGACCAATCGACATATCTTGGCATCGAGGTTGGGGTTTTCACGAGCACGGGTTCCATTCTGTGAAGAGTTGGCCTAGTATGTTTCGTTGCCCCAGGCTTTTGAATAGGTTGTGGGAGGATATGGGTACTCGGACATTGTATATCCAAGCTTCATCTGCCCTTTCGGTTTGAAGCGGGATGTAAGCTTGTTGAGTGGCTTGTAGCTGTATTATTCACGTGCCTTTTGCCTCTTTCAGAACGTGTTTTTTGCTACATTCAAAATGAGAATCGATGATCAGAGAGACATGAAAAGACGCTACTGCTATAGCTGACTATGGTGTTGACCTTCGTGACTCTGGGAGAAACGAGAGCCGAAGCCTCCAGGGGAACATTCTACTAGAGATATACAACCCCCTTTGAAAGGTTTCCGACGAAGCGATTCTAGAATGACTTACACCTCTGGGTCGTCATGCCTTATCTTCGAATTTGACCACCAGTGGGATCCGCATTGCCCACGGTGGGCAAAAGCCTAATGCTAGTCAAGTATTATCTCGCTGAGCTGGGTGCATACCGTCAACTGAACCGGCTGGCCATATCCCCCCCACCCCAGCGAACAGACTTGATAACCGGCTCGAAGATTTGTCGCTGTTCTCGGTCAAGATATCCCACTGATTCCTGGGAATGCCCCGTAGCGCCGAGGGAGTAATACCAGTAGCAGTTCGATGACCAGAGTGGCATGAGGTCATATAAATGGTCAATTTAACCTTGGTGCTCTTCTCAGGGTTGGAGCAGTTTGCAGAAAAGTGGATGTGGAATTGAATCGCTGTACCTTCGATTATTGAGCTGTATCCCCACTGTTATGATATGAGGGGTTTCCTCGAGTTCATGCGCAATAATAGATGTATAGGGGGACGACGGTCCAAAAGGTAGTTGGATTCAAGATTTAAAGCTCGTTAACATGGCTTAACTTCGGTGCCAAAGCTTTCCGTTGTGAGAACGAGATACGCCGAAGTCTCCACCTCGACCACTCTACCCTTCATTAACAAGTCGCCTTTCTCATAGGTGTGATCTTCTTGAGACACTTGGAACTTGGCTTCCGTATTCTCGGGGAGCTCAAGGAGATTGTCGCTGTTCTCAGTGGCGTACAAAGCTTGATGCGAACAAGAGCTCTCCTACCTACGCCATCCGTCATACCGTAGACTGTGTGTCGAAGGCCAGGATTAAAATGCATATCTGCAACTGCGCTCGATGCCCGAGTGAAAGACATTTCTGCCATGATAAACAGTCGATGCATGCGGGCTGCATGCCTGGTGGCGCGGCCAGCAAACATTTGCAGCAAGATACAGGGTTTTTACCGGGCAGAAGATGAATCCAGCAAGGTAAACCACGCCTGTTCGGCGTTGTGCTTAAATCTGTATATCATAGGCAAAATTAGTTCATTTCTGGCACCGGCAAGCCTTGGAACGGCACTGGCCGATTACATTTGTATTTCAGTGAGACAAGAAAAGTCATCTTTCCATAGACCGAATTCAATTCAATATAACGGCCGGGTGCATCCCCAAGTAATGGTCCAGCTGGGTGTATTGGGTGCGCCATGGAATCTTTGTGTGAACGGCTTACTAAGTTCGCTGGGTTTGAACTCGACTGTCCAGGGCCTGTCGGAAGACGTGTAAATTGATAGATAATCGAGAATTTATTCTGGTCATAGTATTAGAAATTGTGTGGGGTTGCCTGTATCCCCTGATGCCATGGCTTTGTCTTCTTGCTCAGGATGGCGGAGCAGTCTTCAAAGATAGCGATAGAATCACCCAACCTCTTATCCGTGATTTCCACATATTTTTGTGTGACGTAGAGAGAAATTGTTGCATGCTGCATACGAACTCCAAGATATGTCCATGAGTCATGCTGAGGTAGTCGATGAGCGACAACCCATCCAAGCATCAGGTCTTTCTCGAACTAAAAGCGTGAGGACAGTCCATCTGCAGCCTTGGCTCTCATGTCTTTCCTTCATTACACCCTAGTTCCGACACTAGCACGAGAATAAAGGCTGCTCCAAGCTAGATATAAGTGTGCATACTTTCCGCAATCGGTGCCGGAACTTTCGTCAAATCCAGAATGTAGATATGGACCAACCGGGACATTGCGGTTGAAATTGGCCCAAATTGACTATGTAGCGGCTCCCACATGAGCATGACTTTCTCGTGGTTGCTGTATGCATCGCCTAGATTACTACAGAATGAAGGATTGCTGTCTCTGTTTCTTGTAGGGGACATCCACCTGTTCTTTCACAGATTGGCCGCGATCCACAGTGTTTGACGTCTTCGATATACTCTTGTGGACCGTCACAGTGCTCACAAAGTCACCGAGTTTAGCTGGTTGGATTCAAAGCTCTCTTCTTGTATGCCGAATATGCTTTACAGCGTAAGAGTAGTGCTGATGAACCCACCAGTTGACTGAGGTTTTGTGGGATCACCAAGTAATCTCATAATTGAATCCTGGGCGTTGGATCACTCAGAAATCTCGTGAGCCATCTAGTTAAAGGTTCATATCACGAACCAGGCAAGGATATCGATGGCCACTGCCTCAGGTGTGTCGGTTGGATGACAACCGGCATACTCATGTAAGTTAAGATAGAAAGACGCGCGTGAGTGAGTGAGAGCCTTTGGTATAGTATATTGGGCAATTTTAAATAGCCCCAGTCTTGCTGTATGTCCTCGTCTAGTTCTTCTCAATTGCTTTATTCCTCTATTGGAAGGTTTCTCGGCTTCAAGGATGGGCATGTAGTGATTTCCTTGGGCTGGTTAAAAGGTATGTAAGAACCGCGGATAAATTAGACAGAGAATTGATGATGTGGAGAAAAGGAAACTGGAAATATATAGTATCGGTAGGATGATCGTGAATCAGATATTCCATTCCTGAGATATTGAGAGTGACTGTAACACTCTATTCCCTTTGAAAGGGGAATGGGATATGATCAAAATTCAAAGTAGTCCCTAGCACAATTCAATGCATTTCATTCATAGAGTGAAGCACAGAAACTGGCAAATACTCAGAGAATGATCAACTTCATGGGTGATCCTGAGTTTCCATACTGCATCATGGAGAATTCCCATGATTCAGCTATTTACTAGTTGAGTCGACCATAGTTACTCTGAGTTTTATGACACATTCTTGCCTGCACATCTTCACCTAATAAAGGTACCTCGCAAAGTGTCACTAGCTAACCCTAATTTGAAACCTGACTCCCGCCCACGACTTGTCAGGCATTGCAACATCAACCCTTGTTGAGAAATTTGCAAAACAAAACAAGAACAGATAGATCCCTATAGTAAATAGCACGTCACGTCTCATAGAATAGAGCCATGGTGGTTTAGATTAAGTTGCAAAGACGGCCCATCCTCGAGATCCTGGATTATAAGGCTTAAGCTTATCCTCGATAAGCTTCTCTCCAGCTGGGGACGTTATTGGTTAGAAAAATCCCTCAACGACTGGATCTCGATTCAGATTACTCTGTATGGAGGATAGTACCTTATGTGCAGATCACTAAAATTGCATCATGTTCATAGTTCTTTGTGTTATAGCTTGATTTGGTGGTTATCGCATTTGGATGTGGTGAAGTCGTGTTCGCTAGACCACATTTTAATCTTCCATCTAACCAGCACAGGTCACCTGTGGAAAGAATAGGCTGCGTCCTGCCTGAATGATATACTTGATACATTTTGGCGAGACATGATTGCTTCGTTGAAATTGATATATCTATCGCACTTCTGGTTGCATATGTGGTGTAGACTAGGTTCAAGCTGTCGTGGATGCAGAAATGCAGGGCTCCCAGCCCTTGTCTTACAGGTGACGCGCACTATATTCCATGGTATTTCCTTTGCTCGGAGCTTTTAAGATATATATATCGAGAGGGCCAGTTCTATGGCAATGCCAAATCAACCTCGTAGTCATAATCGATAAATCTCCACTAGCAAGCATGAAACTCCATTTATCACTCGAAATTGATTCAGAGCCCGTACGACACAGAATTCTTGTTATTATCGTGTCATGATGGAGAGGATAGATAGATGGCCTGACAAATAACCGGCTCACTTGTCTACCATTACAGGGGTATCTCCAAGAGCCAACGAGAAAAGTAAAGAGCGCAATGACTTTGACAAATCAAAACAAAGCTCATACTGTTCTTCTACCCTTATCTCACGTGGGCCTGAGCCATCCATTGGGGGCCTGATCACTTGACACGTCAGCGCCGAGCACAACCGTCGAGAATTGGACAGTGGTAGCATAGTATTCTGCGGTATAACATGTGCCCTTTCGCAATTTTCAGAGTACCGTGACACTAAGGAATTATTCTGCCTACAGTCGGGCGATACATATACCTATAGAAGTTGTTTCATATCGCGGTTTGGCCGCCATTAGCTAACCCTATATTACCACCACCGGAAGGGAAACGGCGGTATGAGATGCATATCGGGATTCCGGATATAGATAATTGCCTAGAAGAAGTGGGACCAGAGGCCACTCCTGGGATATTTATGGTACCGGATTGAGCGAGACCTGAGCACGCGACCTCGAATGGGCGCCATGACCCATGCCCAAGAGCGTTTGGGACCCCTGTTGATTGTCTCTCTGGAGCCCCCTGTCGGAAGCACATCCGGTGTCTTGGCGGGCACTATATGGCGTTCTTTGTCACTGGTGATAGGTACTAACTAGGACTCGACACTACTCCGGAGTCCTAGTCCATGGTCGTTGTCTGGTGGTAGGGCCGAGTTACGTTACTCGAAACGTGTGCCTTGAAACAGCAAACTGATCGCCCATTCGATCTGATTTCCCCTGTATTTCACGTTTCACATGTTGAATATGAGCCCCGGGTTATTCTTCCTGGGATTATAGCCCTGGAACTCATGGCGCCGAGACTGGAGCCCAGAAAGACTGGCATTGTCTTAGGGCTCGGGATCTGGCTAGGCTAGTGGTTACTATAGCACCAGAAGTGGAGTCTACCAAGTCAACTAAATTAATAACACCGGATCTCCGGAGGACCAAATCGCCGTACAAAAACAAAATGGCTCAACCCTAGCGCCCTTTGCCCACTGCCACCCAAGAGTTCTCAGGAGGACCACCTCAATCGGAGAGGAGGAATGCAATGCCATACCACGCCAAGATAGGGGAGTCCAATCGAAAGGGGTGGTTCAGGTCCCGTTGGTTCCCGGGCCCTTGTCTGATCAGTAATGGTTTCGGAGGAAGGCAATGATCTTCGAGAAAAATGTCTGCCCATGAGGGAAAAAGCCATCCTCGGCATGCGAGAGCGCAAATGATGGAGTGGGGAGGGAGTTCTTGGCACACAGCCCTATGTTCATTGCCTTGGAATTATGATAATATGGTGTTCGCATAATTAATTCTTTTCATTGTTGCTAGGGTGAAACTGGCTAGCATATAGACTAGTATATGCGCTCCGGCTGAGTTGTCGGACGAAGAACCGGTTATTCTGCTATTTTGATTCTGCCTCCAGGGTTTGCTCTCGCTCCTACTCTACTCCGTATTGCCCTCTTCGATCGTGTATTTGAATCTATGAGTAGATAACACTGCGAAAATGCCCTCTCTACTACGGATTTTGTGGGCGACGATTTCCCTCCTCAGCCTTACGGCGGCCGCCCCATCCGTGCAGGCTGCCCTAGCCAGCGGCCCGCGACCGATCTACGCCATCGCACACCGAGTTCTCCGAACTGAAGCCGTGACAGCGGCGATCTCCCACGGCGCCAACGCAATTGAAGTTGATCTTCACGCCACAGACGAATGGTGGGCCGACCACGACTGCAAGAGAAATAGCGCCGGCGACACAGCCCGTGAAATCTTCCAGTTTATCGCCGAGGAGCGCAAGAACGGCGCCAACATCACCTTCGTCTGGCTGGACATCAAGAACCCCGATGCATGCCCGCAATACGAACCATGCTCCATCCAGGCCCTGCGCGATCTAGTCCGCGAAACGCTCGAGCCGGTCGGCATCCGGGCCCTGTATGGCTTCTACCAAACGGAAGAAAGCCAGGGCTATAAGGAGATCCTGCACTCGCTGAATGGGAACGAGGCGATTTCTCTCAGTGGCTCTGCCAGGGATGTCTTTGAGCTGTATTTTACGACTTCGCGGTCTCTGCCGGTGAGGCAGAGGGTCATGGACTATGGACATGTCAATATCCAGAAGGATTTCGGGGATTGCCATGAGCGTGGGGGGTGGACTTGTTCGGAGTTACGCAATGGGCGCTCAGCTCGTGAGAGGGGTCAGCTGGGGAAGGTCTTCGCGTGGACGAGCACAGAGGGGGATACAAGATATGTGAGCGATCTGCTGGAGGTCGCTCAGATTGACGGCCTCATCTATGGGAATCAGAAACATGACTACAAGGATGAAGCCCGTACCAGGAATGCCTTCTGGGATATTCTGGACTTCGTGAACGCTAATCCGGATACTGTTCGAATGGCGACGGCGGATGACGCGCCGTGGTAGGGGATCTTGTGTTTGGATCATTGCTGTCAATTGCGGTCTTCATTGCACCGACCCGATTATGATTGTATCTTCGCCCTTGCAGCTGTTGGCATTTGCTCCTCCCTCGCTCGACACTTAACGCCGTGACGATCGACACCATGTACCTATCCAGAAGGCTGCTCCGAGGGAGGCTTGGACGTACACGTGTACGAGTTCTGGAGAAACGACCAGTCCGGTTCTCACTAGACACGATGCTCAAAGTACGGAGGCGTGGGGTTAATAAAGAGATGAATGGTCAGATCAGATGTCCTGCTAAACAATGTATATATCTCATTTCTTCCCCACTGTTATAGAATTTCCTGCAACGGGAAACAAATCCATGCTAGCACTTCCTCGCACAATGGATTCCATCTAACAATCGATTGAACTCGAGATAGTATGACTTGACAACATTAATGGCCAGCATAACAGGGCATAGATGGAAGCACTAACCGTTGCCAGGAAGGAGGTCGTGTGACCAGAATTGAGATCTTGATGACTAAGGATCGAGTGTAACTAACTATAGTTACTTTGACTTACATCTAGTTCAAGGCGCCTTTATGGGCGGGAATTTTACGAAGATGGGGTCACCGGAAATGCAAGGCATACGTTCATCAATTATGCTAGTGACCTCCGTCCAACAATCGGTTAGATAACTAACCAATTCGCGGTCACATCCTTAGCCAAACGCAAATCCCCACTCAGAGCATAGAGGGTCTGTAGGGCCAATGCGGCCTCGGGAGAGAAGTCTTCGACGAACGGTTCTTGGTCGGATCCTGCATCCCGCATATCCACATCGTTATCCACATGCCTGGTGACTCGCACCGCCGGCTGTGGGCCTCGACCCTCAGCCTGTATCTGCCTCCCCAGTTTTAATACACGCTGGTAGCCTTCTACTGCCAGGTTGGACAGGCCCAGCATGTGCCATACTCGGGCATAGTTGAACTCCATTTCCTGTCGCTCCTGGAGAAGACTCCCGGGCCGCTCTCGCACGCGTCGATATTCCTCCATAAATGAAAGTCCTTGCATGATCATGAAGTGACGGTTTTCAGACTGACGCTTGAGGGCATGATGAATGTAACAGAGGGCGATCGAAAGAAGCACCGTGGCATTTTGATCGTCCAAGGCATACGCACGGAAGAAGTAATTCAAAGCCGGTAGAAAGCTGTTACCAGAATAAAGTATATGGCCGTACAATACCAGAAGAGCAACGTCCATAGCTTCTGCTGGTATAACTTCTCCATTCTCGTCACGCGTCGATAAACGTGCACGCTCCTGATAGATTGATTCTCTCACGGGCTTACTCGACCGCAAGCCCGGGGCCTCGTCCGGGATCGTGTAGTCCATAGCCTTAATCTGTCGCAACATAAATTTCATATTTGCTGACGAATGGAAGAGAGACCGGTGGGGGTCCCCACAGAGGCGACTCAGCATGGAGAAAAGTCGATATGTGTCGGTCACGAACTGATACTCCTTGATGAACCAGCGTGCCTCATTGGCAAGGGTTTCTTCGTCCTGCGCTCGAAGAGCACAAGCTATATCAAGTCAGCTACGAAACGAGCACGGACAAAATGGGTACTCACTGAACCAGCAAACGTGGATCAGGCGAGTGCTGGGTTTAGAATGATACCAAATGCTGGCATCTGCAGCAGCAGCAAGTGAGTCGTACGCTTCTTCTGGTTCACCCTGCCCTGCTACAACAAGAGCGTACTGGAGGAACAAATCAAGCCACTCATCAAAAGATATGCCATGATAGTCAGTCGGTATAGCCCCCTGAAGAGGTTCCTCGGTGATAGTGCCTACGCAGATGTTAGTTGCACAAAAGATACACGACTTAGTGGTTTAATCGTACCTAGAGACTCATGGAGGCGACCAGCCATCTCCTGCATCTCTTCCATTATCGTTTGACTCTTGGTCTTTCCAGCCTTTTTCTGGGCTTCTCGAGCGTAGCCAAGAAACATGACATTGCGCTGTAGCGGGTAGAAAAATCGGTTAGACCGAAACTCGCGCAGCAGTGCATCGGCAATATCGAGCCAATCCTCCGTGGCTTCGAGCTCGCCTGCCTTGACCCTCGACTGCAGCTGCTGTAGTTTGGTATAAAGGAATTGGATGCTTTCTGTCCTTTCATTTTCGGCCTCCACGGAATCCTTCCGACCGAGCACAGCTGCAGACTTAGTGGTAAGTGAAGGTGCTGTCACATCATTACCTACAGAATCTGGTGCAACTGAACTCAAGCCGGGCGCACCAATTTCGCCTTCAGCTAACTTAAACTCCATTACTAGCTGCTCAAGCCTTGTATCTTTTCGTCGCCGATTTCCCCTGGTTTCTTGCCTCCCAAGTAGAACGGCTTCGTTAACATACTTGAGGGCCTGCTCGGACATGCCAATGGCCTCATATAACTTCGCCAGCTGTACACGGGATTCTATATTTCTCGCATCATGCTCCGCGACGGTAAGATAGCAATTTTCGGCGTCTTCGAGCTTGTCCAGATTCCGAAAGCAATCTCCCACTGCCATGAAGAAACTAACATCTGCATACTCCTCTGTTTGCTGAAGTGGCATGTAGAACCGGAGTGCATCTTCGAATAGTCCTACGTCCTTGAGTGCGTCTGCAACCTCCCGGAAGAGATCCCCGTAATCGAAGAGCCGAGCTCCTTCGGATGTGTCGTCTGGATTGAGCCACCCGAAATGATGCTGTAAGCTTGTGTCAGGAACAAGATCCATGCTAACAAATCCGTCTATATAGGACACTCACCAAAGCTTCATCCTTATGTTGATACCCCATTCTCAGACGGAAAAGGCCAAGTTTGATGCGGAGCTCTAGAGGAAGACCCAGCCCATAAGAGTCTCGTGGCCATCGCCCTGGTTCATAACCGTCAGCTTTGATGCGCCGAGGCGAATCACTGGCATCCCATTCGCGATCGTCCTCATCAAATTTTTCCCACATCGTATCGTTTTTGCGGCCAAGGAGCCATCTAGAGAGCGTCTTCAGGGCCCAGAGTCCCTTTTCGGGTTGGTTTAAGTAGCCATAAAGCTCAGCATAGATATTCACATCCGACCAAGAAAACTCGGGGGCTTCTTCTGGGTCAAGAGATAGAAAATATTCCACGCTGTCTGCCCAGTGATCAACCGCCCTCTGAACATCGTTCAGGTCAATATAGATCTCCGCAATATGTCGCAGAGCCCTAGCGTTATGCGGTAAATCCTTGAGAATCCGCTCGTACTCCGTCGCAGCTCGTCCATTATATCCTAATTCCCGGTAAATGGCGGCCCTTTGGAAGCGTACATTGTAGTTTTTTGGGTTGATATCAATGACACGGCTATAGCAGTAAACAACATCGTTCAGTGTGCTTTGGCGATCCTCTCCAGCCCGCTCCAGGATCATCCGTGCCACTTTGGCCCAAACTGTCGGATCTTTCGGGCGCGTATGTGCACCGCTAAACAAAGCTGTCAATGCTTTGTCTTTGTGGCCCTGTGCTAACCAAATCTCTGATAAGAGAGAATGGGCAGCAAACATCTCCGGGTTGATCTGAATTGCCTGTTTTACCAACTCAATGGCACGGTCATACTCACCATCAATAAATGCCGACGTAGCCTCCGAGTGCAGTATCTTGAACTCGGGGCTAGGCTCTAGTGGTTTGCGAGGTCCACGCTTGATCCCTTTACCACCGCGCGCACCGTAACGACCAGAGAAGGGTCCTGTGCCTCTGCGGCGTCTCCTTCGACGAGAATATGAATCATCATCACCGTCATCACCCTCATCAGTCAGCTCCTCATCGCTATATCCAAGGTTAGTTTCCAAAAAGTAGGCGACAAACAAAACAACAACAGCCGTGATTTATACTGACGTCGAGCTTTCTTCTGGGGAGAACTCATAAGTAGAATCCTCCGCAGAGTCATCAATTTCAGCATATTCTTCGGCATCCTCGTCTTCATCGAGCGGTGTTTCTCCTGGTAACTCTGAGGCATTGCTTGGGAACAGGTCCTTATACAAACGGGGGTCCAGCACTGAGTGAATAGGGTCGGGCTGGGCCGTTTGCTGGGGTCCCTGCCACGGGTAGTGTATTGTCTCGTCAATATCAGGGTATGCAACCCCCCCGGCTTGGGAATTGTGATTGAGCTGGTCAGGATCATCCATTTTTACAATTTGGGTATCTGGCTATCCACCAGGGTCTCTTGTCTTGCTCAACAATTTTCGAGGCCAATTGCCCATAAAAACCCAGTGGATTCTCTTGGGAATCCCAACGCACTCCCACGAACAAATAGTATTAGAGCGACTAGTTGCACAAAAATTATGCGGCACCGTCAGAAAAATAATAGAGCGATAGTTTGGGGCGTGGAACTTAAAGATGCCGAGGACGAAGGCCGATCATAGCTGACTGGGGCTCAGCGAACCAGAATGAAGAATGCAACGGTTGTGTCCACCTTCCTGCGAGCGTGTAGAGTATGATATAGATCGTTCGGCCCTTCTACTCGGACTGAGATTGGGAGATGTGGAGAAAAATAAAAACAAAAAAAAAACTAGATAAAAAGGGGATACATTGTAAATCCAACGAAAAGAGAGATATCAGATGCGCAAAATTATTTTCTTCGTAGCAACAATTAAGCGCCAGTCAACGCTAAGCCAAGACCAACCGGCGCAGAGAGAGGCTAGAGGCTAGAGCAGTCTGTGCAGACGCGGACAAGGTCGCCTTTGATTAAATGGAGTCGGACTTGAACTCGAGCAATCGGAGCAGGGTAAAAAAAGACAAACTAAGGGCGTCGTGCGAATAAAGAACCCTTGCCAGTGGAGTCTTTGGAAGCAACCGAGAAGATGGAATTGGATTTTTGATGGAGGGACACTGGAGAGTCTTTTCTCCTTCGGGAAGTCCAGTGACCTCCGGCCGCGCCCAAACGGCAAAGCGCCGTTTCATTGACTTCTTCTCGCTTCTTTGCCTTCGTTCCTCTTCTCAATCTTCTTCAATCTTGTTCCCCCCGTCCTCATCGCTACCTTTCCCTTTCATCCTCCTCCTGTCTCTTTTCTCACCTTCCTTTTTTTTTTTCTCTTCTCTTTTGATGCTTCAGGTATTCTGCTTGTTGTGTTTGACACACTATTGCAGTTGATCCTGACATCCTTTCGTTTAAAGAAAAAAAAGAAACTCAAAAAAAAGAAAAGGAAAAAAAAGCCCACACTTCCTAATTTATACCCGTTAAACGCTCCGCTTTGCCCACTCCGCGAACCCACCGAACGTTTCTCACTCTTCCGACAAAATCCTTTGATGCTCTTTCGATTCGAATCTTTCGTCAGAACTCGAATCCCGTAGTGCAGCCACTGGACTGGTCTGTGCCTCGCTCGTCGTCGCTTAGAGTCAATTGTGGTTGAGTTTATCACTCAGAAAAGAACAAGACCGTCTCCGTCCTTAGAGAGATCGTGCGAATTTTCTTCGGCCAAAACCGGTTTTTTTTAACGGCCGTGCGACTGTCAATCAGGAGCCCCTCCCTCTCGATCAAGGCTCTTCTCGATACTACGCAAACTCAGCAGGTGCTGCAGGTGTTTTGCAGTAATATCTTCATCTTCTTCTCTCTGTATTGTTATACATCGAAATCGAAGGCAAAAGGAAAGAGAAGCCAGTAAGCGGCTTTTCCTTGATCGACACCACCGTCATTCCTTGCTCCATGGCCAGTCACATCATTGGTAATCGCAATAGCACTCCGGACGCTTCCAAATCCACTCTCCGGCCCCCGTCGTCGTCCCGTAACCTAGGTTCACATCAGCTTCGAGCGTCGGCCGATATGTCGGGATTTCCGTCCCCCTTGTCGTCCCGCAGCATCCGCCCGGCATCAGAGGTGTACTTCAATCAGCAGTCTCAAGCGTCGAACAATGCAGAGGACCCTCTGGATCGTGCGGCTCAACAGTGGCTTGCGGATATCGATCAGTACGAAACCACGCTAGAAGAGATGGCCGCCGCAACGCTTGATCAGGATTTCAAGGATGAGCTCAGTGCGATCGAGCAATGGTTCCGTGTGCTCAGCGAGGCGGAACGCACTGCTGCACTGTATGCTCTGCTTCAGCAGACTACTCAGGTACAGATCCGTTTCTTTATCCAGGTTTTGCAGCAAATGGCCAAGAGTCACCCCATGTCGGGATTGCTGTCACCTGCGAACTTTGGAGAAAAGGGTAAGTTGACTGTTTGGTGGTCCTAAAGATGCTTTGTTCTTGCACTAACGTGTTCCGACTAGATGCTATGTCTAACCGCCTGAATGACGCTATGTCCAAATTGAACGTGGACAGCTCTCGGAACTCTTTGGGTCGTCCCCCGCCCTCTCCAGGTGCCAAGCGCAACTCGGGGCTGGACTCCTCGACCATCAATGCTATGTTCCCTGACGCCGCTGCTGCTATTGCGAAGAAGAAGGCCGAGTTCACCCAGCAGACTGGCAACGCTCCCCCCTCCAACCGTAACAGTGCTGTATTCGGCGATCGGACTTCATTCGTTGCACCTACCATCTCCGCTCCGGACAACAATACGGACAACCTAGGTCAACCCCCTGTATCTCCATGGGCCCAAAGGGGTCCCGATAGCCAACCGCCAATTGCTCGACCCAAGTCGTCCTCTGGCCACCAGCCCATGGGGCAGTTCAGTCAGGCGTCTTCTGGCCTCCGTTCTCCCCTCCCCCAGACTGCTACGATTCCTGCGCCCGAAATCGAGGCTCCTCTTTTGTCGCCGTACAATGTTGGTAATGCCAGCTGGGCTTCCATGACCAACACTCCGATGACGGCTACTTTCGCGCAGCAGCAACAGCAGCAAAACTCGCAGGCTGATATGGTGGCCAATGCGACGGCGATGAAGCTGGCTGCTCTGTCGACTGTGAACAATCGTATTGCGCTTGATGATGCTCGGAAATATCGTCGTGCCCGTTCCAACGACGGACAAGGAAAGAATGCTAATGCCAACAATGTCAATCAGAACATGCCTCAAGGCGGCCTCGCAAGCCCGGGTCTCCCAGGCCCCAACCACCTGGTTGCTGGACAACTTTTGAACGCACAACAGCTGGCAGCGCTCCAGGCGCAGCAGCAGGCCGCTATGGCGGGTCGGCGTTCTCGCCCAACATCCCCCGGAATTGCTATGCAAGGAGGCGCTCTCGGCCCAATGGGATTCACGTCGCCCCAGAACAACGGGTTCTTAGCAGCGTATGACCCGAATAACCCTCTCATGGGCAATGGACTGGGTGCGCTTGGCATTGGACAGTTTGGCCTCGGCGGTCATGAAGGTTATCTCTCGGATCACTCGGAGGTCACTCGCGGCCGCTCGCCACGAGGCCGTCGTGGTAGCTCGAAGCCGCCAGAGGATCCCACCGACCCTGCTCTGTTGAAGGACATTCCCAGCTGGCTGAGGTCTCTGCGTTTGCATAAGTATACCGAAAACCTGAAGGATCTGAAGTGGACTGAGCTAGTTGAGCTTAACGACAAAGCTCTGGAGGAGCGTGGCGTTAATGCTCTTGGGGCCAGAAACAAGATGCTCAAGGTGAGTTGATCGCTGGACATGGTAGAGTAAACTTTGGGTTCTAACGGAATTATAGGTTTTCGAACAGGTCAGGGAAGCCAAGTCTGATGGCAAGCTTGACAACATTCTGTGACGGAGGACGTACTGTTCCTCTGTCTTGGTTTTTCCTTCTTTTTTTCGTTCTAACATTCTCTCCCTTGCATTAATTTGATTAGATTGAAATTGGGCATAAGTGGCAGGATCCGATTATATCCATGAGCGATTCATTGGATGACCCTTTGGGGAGGAGAGTTGTGTAATAATCGATTCGAGACGTTGTCTGATCCGACGTTGGATGAGTGACTGAAACTCTGTATGTATTTGTTTGATGGATTTGGCTATTGGGATGCCTTCAACAGTTCCCGAACCCTTGACGCCGATGGGAGACCCGGTTGTGTCCCAGATGGAACGAGGCCAGGAAAATGGTTTATGACAAGAATGAGGCTTGACTGATTGGCTTGAAGCTTTGATGTTATGTTAAGTATATTACTGATTAATTAACGACCACCATCTATACGGAGTGAAGTGATTCCATACCTGCACTATCATGTCTTGATCTATCTACCTGAACAAATAGAAACAACATCACATATGAATCACGTTTTCATGAATTCATTCTGTCTGTCCTTCACATCAACAAGCTCTTGCAGCATCCATCCCCTTGTGAAACACCTGCTATTCTCCATATCTCTTTGGGCTCAGTATCTGCCAAATAAGCATAGCATATGCTGGCCTCGCCGTATAACTAAGACATAGAGTTAATTACACTGGCTATTTCCGTCAGGTCAGCCTTGTTGGATTTATGAATACAGCATGTATCAATCCAGACATGAGCAAAGCCATCATCATTGGCTACACGGCAGCTTGATAAGATTTTCTTGAACCCCTTTGTTGTTTGGAACGTCATAGTGTGAGGTAAGCGCATATCTAATTGTATAGAAAAGAAGTGGCTAGAATGTGGTTCTTTTCGCGCAACGAACCGTACAGCTGAAGAGGATAGTAGTTGGAGGGGTATTTAGGGAGCCAGGATCCGTATCTGCAAGTGATCAGACTAGCACTAGGGCTTATTTTTGCTTCACTATAAGTAGATTTGCAGAGGACCTATGTGTAAAGTATTCGAAAGTCCAAAAGCAGCGTCTTTTTTTACCTGTTCCTAGATATTGTGCACATTAGTATCTCTCGTCGGATGTTGCGTCCACACTTTGAAGCTGCTTATATCGTCGAAATACAGTAATGAATAATTAGCAAATACATTACCTTCCTTTAATCTAATAACTATCGTGAATTCGCATAATCAAGCTGTACTTCTTTCTTAGTGAAACCGTTAAAATAACAAGTAACCAGCGACTTGTCACTAATTAGGGCATAGTCACCACATACTAGAAGCCTGATTCACGACAACTAAATTGACAGCCAAATCCGGAGCGTCCGACGCCTCAGCCAGCCTCACACAGCCATAGCAGGTAATGTCTCAGGTGCCCAATGATGGCTGTAAATAGTGTCTTTGCCAACGCCACTATTTCGGACTTGTGCAGGGATCTCGCCCAGTAAGCGGGATCTACAGCGTGCAGAAGTCGTTCCTCAAGACCATTCAATCGATTCGTGGCTTGCGGGATTTGAAAGGATCCCACCCCAACTTTCCTAGAAAAACAGGTTGTCTGGGGTACATGCGATGATTGCCGAAGTAATCTGCAGCCATGTTCCAGTTGCAACCAGTCAACCAACAGTCCGTTCCTGCCGAAGTACGCAATATGGGTTCGCAGCTAAGCTGAGCCTGTTCATGTGCTGTGCCATCGTGGCTCTCATTGGATTGTGCTTTGCAGTTGGCGCTTCGCATTTATGCTTGTGCTTGTGTCACTTCTACTAGCGTGGGAGTAAGACCAGAGTGCGCTTGGTTTGTGAAGCATACCGTTCTTGTCATACCTTCAACCTCGAAGGGAAAACGCTGGTGCTACTGGCCTTTCCTGACATTCTGGTAGTCAGAGGTCCCGTCCTTGCACGACGGAGAGACGAGATTCCAGATACTGACGCTACAGTAGAGAGCACGGTGTGTTCTGTATGCTCATTCTATCATTTTAAGTGTTAGAGAACCTTGGATCGGTCTGGACTTTCTAAGAGTCCCTCCGGCTAAACGGAGATCTTAGTCGGACCGCTATAGCAATGCCCCTGTTCTCCTCATCAAGTACGCACCCCTGTGATAGTGACAAATAGACAACCGTGGCTGACTGAATGAAGCAAAAGGCCCTACGGTCGTCTAGCTAGTGTCGCCGTCGATTGGTTCTGTTCATCAGCGTCTAGCATTATACCAGGGACGACGCACTGGGCATGACGAAGTCTTTCCAGCTGACCCTCCCATGAACAGATACATCCTGTCACCTTCACAGCTGAAGGATGCGAGGTGTTGTGGAGCTGAGAGTATGGCCTGGGGACGTCCTGCTCACAACAATTCCTAATATAGAGTCTCTCAAACCTATAAGAAGAGCGACGAATCCAGCTCAGTCAACTCCAGAGCTCCAACAATCATCATCTTAAACACAGTTTCATCAGCAATACCACTCTTTGTTCTTCAAAATGAAGCCTTCTCAACTCAGCCTGCTGGTCCTTTTCTTCCAGGTCTCTTCCATTCAGGCCAAGATGTTCAAGAAGAATGTCCCGACATTCGAAGTTGGCCCCGATGTGGTCATCACCGACAACAAGATCGAGTACGATGACCCCGACTGCGAGCCCGGGTTTACCTGCAGAACAAGCAAGACCTGTGCCGCACCGGGTGCCGTTCCCACTCTCACCAGCGACAAGAAATATTTTGCCTGCTGCTTGAAGGGACTGAACCTTCTGGGTAGCCCCGAGACAGCATTCGACTGCTGTGCCGAAGGCCACGACCTTGCTGGCTCCGGCGAAGTCGGCTATAGGTGCTGCCCAACTGGGCAGATCTATGACGGCTTGATCTGCAAACCGGTATGCGAGAACGGCAAAGTCCTTGTCGACGGCAAGTGTGTCTGTCCAAAAGACACGATCGAAGGCCCGGACGGGGCCTGCCATAAGCAAGTCTGCACCTCCGGATTAACATCTGGTAAGTTTCCTGTTACCCCTCACATGAACCACCTACTCATAGAACCCCCCTTTCTAGGAAAATGCTACACCTTCACCGCGCCCAACGGCAACACCCTAGGCTCCGGCGCCGACGGAATCTACTACGCCAAACCCGACGACATGAACTTCCACTACGGTAAATTCCAGCTCTGTCTCGACGAGAAGTGTGAAGGCGACCTGCCCGTCAACCCCCAGGACGGAGTGTACATCCGAGACCTATACGGCGACGTCAAAACCGGCGCCAACAAGGGCCAATGGCTCAACAACGCAAAGGACGGCGCCCACATCGGCAAGACCAAGGACTTCGCCTCAGCCGGCAAATTCTCTTTGAGCAAGTGGCCATGCGGAAAGTACTGTCTCGGAGGCGTCGAGTGGGGTGTCGGTCCCGCTTGTCCTTCTCTGACGCCTGCCATTACTTTCTTTTCGCAAGATCCGCAGATGTGCACGGCCTTCGATCTCACGGAGATTCCGTGCGATATTAAGGCACCTGCCAATAACTGTATCTGGAAGAGTGGAAGGAACCAGTGCTGTGGTAAGGTTGATTGTAGCCTGTGATTGACCTCAGCAGGTGTGACTTGCATCCTGGTGTAGGAGGATGGGGGACACAGTTTGGAGATTTAGTCTGGGTTTTGATAGTAGTGATAGTGGTAGCTAGCTACTGGGCTAGAAATTGAGGACACTGGCTTTATTATTTTTTTTTTTTTTACATAACTCTCCTATAACTCAACCAAAAGAAACAAGTACTTCACTTCAACTATAGATACAAAAGCCCTAACAAGCCTCAGGCACCAACCCCACTGACTAAGCAAGCCCCAGACCCACCAAAAGCGGAACCAAGCAGCAGAATACACCCCAACTCGCGACATCATCAGCAAAAGCCGCGATGATCCCGAGCCCCAATTCTCACGATTGTGATTAATATCTGCTAATTGAACCGACTCCCATCTTGAAACAGGGGCTGTCTAGCTAGCCTTCACTTCAAGGAGCTCCGAAGAAGACAAAAAAGCACTCTATCCGCAAAACCACTCTACCAATCACCAAGAACGAAAGCCTTATTAAAAAGAGAAAACGAGGATTGAAAATGCCGCCAACAAAACAGGAAATCTCGCTTTTGATCAATCCGCTGGTCCCGGAGTCGGTGCAGCATAATAACCGCGTATGTTGTTCCCTGACTTTGTCCTGGGGTGTTGAGTCCGATGGATGGATATACCTGAAAGAAAAAGAGCGAGAGAGAGAGAGAGAGAGAAAGAGAGAAAGAGCTAGCTAACAAAACTACATAGATTCTTTCAAACCTCCACTCCATCACCTCCTTCCTCCTTGGTCTAACGGCCGGTATCCTCGCCCTGCAGTCCGCAACGGGATTCCTATTCTACCTGGCCGGGACGGTCCTCGTGTCTGGTGTTTTTCATGTCTTCCTGCTGCAGCGCTCGAAGGGCCAGGGCGCGGGCGTGTTCTTCCCCGGGCCGAACATGGGCGAGATCGAAGGGATCGATGACAAGGGCATGGTGTGGGCTTCTGGGAGGGAGATGAGGAGAAAGGACTCGTGGCGGGATGTGTGGCTTGGGGGAGGTGTGTTCGGGGAGGCGCTGTCTGGGTTTGTGCTCGGGTGGGCTGGTGTAGGGGGTGTTTTGAGGTGATTTACGAACTGTTTGTGTATCGGGGGGGGGACTAATGAGGGGGGGCTTTCCATACTCCATTTAGTAGTAGAATGTTGTTTGATTATGCAACTATTGTGTCTATATTATATCTATTTGGGTTCCTGAATGCAAGGGTCTTATGAATTATTGAAATCGGCGGACTTGCTGTTGCTTTCTGGCAAGATCTTGTTGGTCTTTTTATATGCGTCGATGTTGCCCTGGAGAGTGTTAGTGCCAGCTACAGAGAGTCGATGGGTGAGGATGGACAAGGGAAATACCTTCAACAACGCCCACAGATACGGCACGTAGATCACTTCACTGTGACTGCTCTCATCCTGCAACGCATTCCGCTGCTCCTCATCCGTCTTCGGCTTGGGCTTAATCCACACATTACCGATAAACAGCCCAGTGACAAGACTAAGCCCCATGATCGGCAAAACAGCGATAAAAGCCCACATAATCGCATCCTTCCCAGCCATCCTCACGCTCCTCTGCGCATCAGCCGGCAAGTCCGCAATAAACGCCAAAGAGTTCGTATCATGGACATCAATATCCCCACCGGCGGCGCCCCCGGACACAACCGACGACTGGGCGAATTTGTTATTGAAAACACTGCCCATGATAGTCAGGCAGAGAGTACCGCCGAACGGCTGCGCGAACCGCATCAACGACTGCGCGGGCGCGATCTTCTCCGGCCATACACCCACCATGTGCAACGTGGCGGGCATGAAGCGGAGCCCTGTTCCCGCGCCGGTGATCGCCATCATGCCGTTGATTAGGCTGGTGTTTTGTGTGTGGATGGCGTATACGACCATGGCGAGGCCGACGGTGCTGATGATCGTGCCGATGTTAAGGGGGAAGAAGCTTTGGGCTGGCCAGACGTTGCAGAGGAAGACGGCGATGTAGACACCGACTATGGAGCGGTTGAGTCAGTTGGGGGGGAATTGGTTCTAGGGACATCAGGTACGTACCTCCCATTCCAGGGATGTAGTAGAGTAACTGCACGCCTGCTTTTGAGGCTGGATATGCCTCGACCAGGGAGAAGTAGATTCCGATGTAGTAGAAAATGGAATACATGGCTGCAGATGTCAGTATACTTGCGGGCGATTTAAGACTGATGAAGAAAGTTACCTGCTCCGGTAGAGAACTGCACAATCGCTAGCCAAATCGTGTCTCTTCTGGCGAACATGCTGTACGGGAGCATGGCCACTTGCTTTGGAAAGACTCGAGCAAATATCCGGCCCGGCTCGAGGAAGTATTCGTAGACGAAAAATAGCACGAAGCAAGCACTGCCCACTACCAATGGTGCGATCACCTGAGGCGCTGACCAGGGATACGTAGCTCCACCCCACGCAGTGGCTAGAATGATAAGTCCTACACCGAAGATGAAGAGGATGGAACCGATAATATCGACAGTTGCCAGAGCTGGCAGAATCCCTGACAGTCGAGAGCCCTGTTTGAACATTGTGCCTTCGACAAGTTCATTGCGCAACAAAATAAAGACGAGTATATGGGCGATAACAGCGATCTACTTAAATCAGCAACTTGTGTCTCACAGCAAGACGGTCAAACGTACAGGGATGGATATCACAAAGCAGTATCTCCAGTTGGCCTGACCCAGTTAGTTACCGGTGCATGATATGAACCACGTATGTGTCTTACATCTGTTAGATACCTAGTGCCTGTCAGCGAATTATTATTATAATTTGGAGTTCTGATTATCTTACCCGCCGACAAGTGGCCCAACAGCGTAACCTATACCCCCAACAAGGGTAAAGAGGGATTTCGTCTTTGCGCTTTCCTTCAGTGACACCTTGTCTGAGAGGATGATCATAACCACGTTCATCAGGCCGGCGTCGCTCACGCCTTGCAGGGCTCTTCCTAGTAGAAGCATTCCCCACGTCTGTGCAGCCGCACACAGCACACTTCCAATAATCATCAGAAACAACGAGAGATGGAGAGTCTCGCCGCGGCCGAAGACATCGGCGAATTGGCCGAACATGGGGATGAAGGTGGTTGATGTTAGGGTAAAGGCAGTAACAATCCAGTTTAGCTCGTCAAACTCATCTGCAACAATGACTGTCAGCCCTCCAAGATGATCAACATTGACCAGGGAAACGCACTGAAATGGGAGGCTATAGATGGCAACGCCGTCGCGACGATTGTCAGATCCAATGTGGCGAGTATAAACGGCAGACACAGCCCTGCGATGAGCTTCCATCGATAAACGCGAGCATCATGCTTCTGTTTCTTGCAGACTTGACACTTTTCGTCGCTCTTTGGCAAGTTTTGAGGCACTAACACCGTATCCTCTTCTATAGTTGAAGGGATTGTACCTTGAGAAGTCCGAGGATTCTCACCAGACGCTCTGGTCCTAAGCTCAACCTGGAAAGGTCGCGAGTGTGGGCAAGATTTTTTCTCTGTAACGGGCTTCGGGGTATCCTTGTTCGGATCTTGATTCCTGGATTTGATCTTTCGATGTATATATTTTGCGGCTATAAACATTTCGGCAAGTTGGACACTTCAATAAGAATAAAACGCGATGGATTACTGGACCGGATCCAGCGAGAAAGGGGAAGAGCATTGTGTTTATATGCCATTTGAGAATACAAGGCAGAAATTGGTATGCAACTGAATTGGGTATGCTCGTCGGACAGGGTCAGCGTCAGCCACAACGTGGAGGCTTTTACATGCAAGATAGGGCTTGGATTGGCCCATCGAGATCCATTTGGTTCTGCTGGTCCGAATACGATCTTACCGGATTCGGAAAGCAATTCGGAGCTAAACCGAAGCCAGTTAGACCCATATCGGCCAGCTAAGTTATAGTACTTTGTAGCATCTACCACGTTCATAGTGGCTCATTCGCATCAGAGGGCAATGTGACTAGCTGTCTAGATTAGGTACCCTAAAGGTTTCTTCGAAGTTGGAAAACAAGACTACGGCCACTCTGTGACTGAAGTATAGTTTGTTTTACAGAATTCTACAAGCATACTTACCATTCCTATTATTGTTGTAAACTGATTAGAAAATTCTATATGCTCTTAATACTTTTTAATGATATCCTACATTTTTCTAGTGCTTGGAAATAAATACTGAGGTCAATTAATATTTAGAGCTAAAGGCTGCCCATCGTAAGAAACATTGATAATAATGCTGTGGAGGGAGATAGCTTAATTAATATTTACGTTAAAAGAGGAGTCCTGTAAGTGTATACTGAGGTTTTAAACAGAGTAATTACGAGATCGAGACTATAGATTCGATGTATACCTTCTGATGTGGATTTCCTAGGTATACAACTCGTGGTACCATCAAGGGTATACAGTTAGGGCAAACCACATAAATTGAATGCCTCAGGCCAACCAGAATAGAGATTCCCCGCCGGTCACATTAATTAACCTAAATATGAAATAAAATAAACAAAACATGGAATGACCTGCATCAGAACCGTGGGTGGCACGGAACAAACGAGATCCGCGCGGGTGGAATGATGTATGCATCTGATATCGTACGATTCTTGTGCTCCCCAAACCAGCTCAGCTCGTATATTATATTATCCATGCCACGACACCAGTCATAACCCCCCTCTATTTCGCCAACTGGAATATGAATCTACGTCCAATCCAATTCCTACTCCACCCTATACAAAACAGTATTACCAGATTCTTGACCACAATGACCACCTCAGCGTACCCGTTGTCGTCACCACTAACACACCCCCAGCCCGTGATCGTGGTTGGCTCCGGACTGGCCGGGTTATCAGCCGCGACGCAGCTCATCTCACACCAAGTCCCTGTCATAATGCTCGACAGGGCCGATAAACCCGGCGGGAATAGTATCAAAGCTTCATCGGGAATAAACGGTGCACCGACGAGGTTCCAGTCGGGGGATGCCGATGACTCCCGGGAGCTTTTTCTCGCCGACACGGTCAAGTCGGCGGGAGGTGTCTTCGCGAATTCCCCTGCTGAGGAGCATAGACGGCGGGAATCGCTTATGGCCACCGTCACGGCTTCGTCTGCTGAGGCGGTGTACTGGCTCACGGATGAGAAAGGCGTCGACTTGAGCACGGTTTGTCGGTTGGGGGGACATAGTCGCCCGCGGACTCATCGGGGGGCCGGGCAGCGGCCGCCTGGGATTTCGATCGTCAGTGCGCTTTTGGATTCTTTGAAGGCGAGTTCGCTGTTTCAGCTGCGGTCGGGGGCGAGAGTTACGAAGGTGTTGCGCGAGGCGGATGAGGTCTTGGGGGTGCAGTATACGGGTGGGGAGAAAAGTGAAGCGGAGGATGGCACTACAACGACTACGCTGAATGGGCCGGTGGTGTTTGCGAGCGGGGGATTTGCTGGCGATGCGCATGGACTGCTGGCCAAGTATCGGCCTGATTTGGCTGGGATACCTTCGACGAACCAGGCTGTGGAGGGAACGCAGCCGCTCCTTGAGGATGTAGGTGCTGGGCTGGTGGATATGGAGCAGGTTCAAATCCATCCGACCGGATTTGTGGATGAGAAGGAACCCTCAGCGTCTGTGAAGATTCTTGCGGCCGAGGCGCTCCGTGGGGAGGGTGGAATTCTCCTTTTGGAGAATGGGAAGAGATTCGTGAACGAGTTGGAAACTCGCGAGCACATCACGAATGTTATCATGCGCTCGGCGAAACCATTGGAGACAGATGCGCGTCAATGGGATGTTAACCTTCTCTTGGATGAAGGGACCGCTGCCGCCTTGGGGTCGCATATGGGATTCTATCTGTGGAAAGGGCTGATGCGCAAAACCACCGTGCATGAGCTTGGCTCATCGATGCTCGAAACTGTCAAGACATATGCAGACATTGTCTCGGGAAAGCAACCAGATGAGTTTGGCCGTACAGCTTTCGGGAACTGGACTCTGAAGGACGTGACGCCGGATTCGGTGGTCTATATTGGCAAGGTCACCCCTGTCACCCACTTTACGATGGGAGGCGCTACGATTGATGAGCGCAGTCAGGTGTTGGATAAGGATGGAGCTCCCATCAAGGGCCTCTGGGCTGCAGGAGAGGTAACCGGTGGTCTACACGGTCAGAACCGCTTGGGAGGGTCGTCACTGTTGGAGTGTGTTGTCTTTGGAAGGATAGCGGGCAACGAAGCAGCGGCCTTCCATAAGAAGCACTACGCTTCCTGAAGTATGGTTCTTTGTTGGCAGTGGAGTTTTATTGCTTTCTAGTTCTTACTCATGAGCGGTGATTAGTATACATTTATGCAGGATTATTACTTTTTCGGCGGGTCGACCCCCAAAGCTAGCTCCATCTCGGGCTCACACTTCTTCATAGCCTTCTGATACGCTTCCCTCTCTGCAGCACGCTGAAGATACTTGACCACATTCTCATACCCCTCCAGACTATAGGGGAGCCAGTACCGCGCCGTAGTGAGCACAAACATGACCATCACATCCGCCACCGTAAACTCGCTCCCAGCAAGCCACTGGTTGTCACGTAGTCTTTCATTGAGGGCCGTGAATGCCTTCCTAAACCGGGTATTTGTGATAGTCATAGGGAAGCTATCCGGACTGATGTTGAGAGAGCGCAGCGACATAGACTGCATGACGGTGGGCATAAAGGTGCCGTTGGACCAGTGCCACCAGTATAGGAAGTCGGGATAGGCTGGGTGCGTCGGGGGCAGAAACAGCTTTCCCCCGCCATGCTTGTGGCAGATATATTCGAGACATGCGCCGCTCTCGGCCAGCGTCAAGTCGCCGTCCTGGATGATGGGCGCCGTCTCCTGGGGGTGCAAAGCCTTGTACTCGGGTGGGGCTAGGAGTGGTGCCCGCTTGTACGTCTTCAGCTCATAGTCGATAGCCAGTTCTTCACATAGCCAGACAACACGCTCTGACTGGGAGATGTGGAGATGGTGAACCGTGAGAGTCATGATCGTAGGATTTTGTGGGATGCAAGCGTGGTAACTTGAAGTTACAAACTAGTAGCTTATGGTAGGTATTGATCTGAAGATATGACCCGGAAAGGTGGATGAGTGGGGAGCCATATTTATACGCTTCCACACAGCTGCCAAGGGCCACTATTCTCCTTCTGAGCCTATCCCCGGCACTTGAGTTGACACTGTGTTAGTCTGATACGCTCTAATTCATAGTGCTCATCACGATGGGGCCAGGGGCCGGGCTTAACGGATTTTAGGGCATGCCCACAGCCGAACCTTCCGTGATCCGAAGTGGTCCATGAGATAGGCATCTCGCAAGAGGTTCCTCAGCCGTCTGCAAGTTATGTAGGTCAACTTATACAGATCGACCTGTGACTCCTGACGTGAAAGTGTGGCTATGCATTTGGCATCCTCTCAAACTGCCCAATCCTCTAGGAAGGCTTCATCATGTCGGGTTCTGTCAAATATTCTTTTTGGTTGCCTTCTGTATCAGGAATCTCTAGCTCTGCAGTGTGAGAATACAGTAGTCTTGATGAACTCTGACAGGTCACTAATCAAACGTCGTGGGTATACTTAGTACCTCGTCAAACCACTGATCATCCCCCAAATCCATCGACTGCATCCAGGCTATCTGATCCAGGTCAGGGATTTGGGAATTGTGACTAGGTACGTCAGGGTTCCTCGCCCTAAGAACATTCACTTCCTGCATCGGACAAGTCATGTCCCACCGGGCTTCCGCCCACAGCCGGCATCGTGTTAGCAGCTTGGATATATAATGGAGTAAATGGTCGTTGCATTGAAGCTCTGGCTGCTGGCTGCTCTGATCCAGTTTCTGTAGCATAGAGTCAATCGTCGAGATGAGCGGAACTGCGTTCCGCACCGCTTGGCAGTCCCATTCGGGGTCTCGGAGGGTCGAAAGATATTTCAGCAGCGTGAGGCTCATGATCATCTGGGACCAAAAGTGAAAGGGTTGACCGATGAGTTCAGAGCAGTGGATGGCGCCGAAGCTGTCCAGCCATGATTTGATGTTTTCCACCGACTGCCATAGGCACTCCAGGCGTTCGAATCCCAGTCGTCCGCTGATATTTAGAGGCTGTGTCATGGAAAAAGCTAGTTGGTTTATGTATAGTTCGACATATTGAGCGTGAGTATAGAGAATGTCTATCATCATCATGGAGGCATCAATAAGTCTGTAGAGAGGATACTTTGCCAGGGAATGTGCTAGAAAAATCGCTGACCTGTTTGAGGAAGATCGCTCGGGAATGAAGACCTGAGCTCTTGCAGCTGCTTGCGTAGCGTCTTGAGATACAATAATTGCGGAAGTGAGATCGTAGCAGGAGCAGTCCCTGTGTGAGCGCATTCTGTGTCCTCCCGTTGCCGGACATTCTCCGCCTTTTGCTTCAACAGTTGCAAGCGTACTTGCGAGACGAACAACTTGTCCGTAGGGCTGGGTCCATTGAGTGTGAGAATGTGCAGTGCCTCTTCCATTCTGGGCGTCCAATTTAAGGCATCTTGGCGGCCAAGGTGAGACGAAAGACTACGACGGTCATATGTTAGGTATTGGTCTTAGATGTAGTATTGGTCAATAATGAGGCTTTAGTAGGGTGCATGCGTACTTGGAACTCAATATGAAACATGCCAGTACTGCCCGCTGCTTTTCGAATAAGCTACTCAGCGTTTCAGCGTTCGGGTGTTGGCTCGGCTTCTCAGCTTCTCCCTGGGAGATAGCCATCATGACTTGCACGTCCGGTGAAGATGGTTTGAACAACCGCAGATCGTATACCAATGATATCGCGAGCATCATGAGGCGAGAAACTAGATCCGCTCTGCCGAGAAAGGGATCGGTGCTCCAGGCAATGTACGTCAGTAATCCCAGCAGCATATCAATGCTGGACTCAACCTTGAGCAATGCAGACGTGAATATGAGGCGCTTCAACTCCTCAACTTGAATTAATCTCTCCTGGGTCGAGAGGGTTGTGACGGTGTGGATGGCTCGTAACAAAAAAGGCCTGTTTTGGCGCAAATCGTGGGTCGTCGTCTCAGTAAGGTCGATGAACGGAAAATATGGCAGCATTCGGGCTCGAAAATATTCCAACTGTTCATCCGGCTGATCCGGTGGTGAAGCAGTGGGAGATGCTGCATAAGAACGGGACTGAAGTGATGGATTTGGGTACGTTGATACAGTGGCACTCGACAGGGCTGGTCTCGCACTGAAATCTGTCCTCGGAATGTTTTCTAAAGCAGCATTCGACGTAGAGAGGGGCTGAATAGCCTCAGCCAGTGGGCCAAAGGAACTGGTGAAGGTTTGCATGGCAGCCAGTAAACTCTCCATTTTGTCCTCTAGTCGAGCGATCCGCGCATCGGACTCTTCGGCCATGGGAACATGACGCCTGCGAGCCGACTCTGTTGGTTGACACTTTCTCTTAAGACGGAGACATCTGGAAAGACAATTAGCTGAATGCCATCATCAAGGTCTAGTCAGGTCAACCTTTCACAGTCGCTGCCACTCCGGGCACGCACACATCGGCACTTTGCCTTGTAGCAGTTTGTACAAGCACGGCCATAGGTGCTGGAATTTCCGATCATCGGGTTGAGTCTTTCCATATTACCGATTAGCAGTTACAAGCTATGCCAGAAGTCTCAAAAGATGACCCAAGTTGATGACATTTAGAGTCTGCTTATGTTGGTTATACGGAGGAGAACACGGACTTCCGTCCCATTTAAATGATGACAACGGATTTCGGCCCCCGAAATCCGTTTTACTAGGGTTGATATACACCACAGCACGATTGGAACTATCTTACTAAAGAAAAACTCAAAATCATGTAAAATTCCCTCGACATCAGATTTGATCCAAAGCTGACTCCCGATTAATCATCCAAGTAAAAAGCCGGTAGGGAAGAAAGGTGTTGCATAACCAACTAAGAGTCGAAGCCTGGCCACGTCGAATGAATATGCCATGACCGTTGAGAACATCGTCCACCACGTTCTTTGCTGCGATGTCGATGTTCTGTTTGTTCGGATGCACCATCGTCTTCTTATGACGATCAATGACCGATGCGATCTTCCGGTACTGCGAACCGGGGGGCAGCTCCAAGTCTGCGATATTGTTCGGGTCGTTCCCACTGGTCTGGACACCGCCGAGGATGACGGTGACGACGCGCACGCCTAGAGGAGCCATCTCCAGACGCAGGGTCTCGGAAATCCGCGTGCCAGCGCTTCGAGAGCTACTATATACACCTATTCATCAGAGTCAGACCGCCCTCGCAAAGGAAGAGAGCTAGGAGAACGGACCCGCCCATGCAAACACCATTTCGCCCGACACCGAGCTGATATTGCACACGACGCCTTTGGCCTGCATGAGCATCGGGGCGAACGCCTGCACCATGGCAACAACACTCCACACATTTGTATCGTAGACCTTCTTCGCCTCGTCGAGGGAGGCGTCGAGAAGCGGCACGATGGCGTTCACGCCCGCGTTGTTGACCAGGACATCGAGTCGCCCGCCCGTGTGTTTCGCAACAGTCTGTGCACAGTGCCGAATCGACTCGACTGATGTCACATCCAGCTCGAGGATCTCAACCCCGTCATAATCCGCCAGCGATCCGGCTTTGGCCATGTTGCGGACCGTTGCAAAGACTTGGAAGCCTTTCGCGTGGTAGACTTTGGCCATGGCCTCCCCGAACCCGCCATGGCTGCAGCCGGTGATCAAAACTGTTTTAGACATGTTGGCGCCTGCCAGTGGTATGAAATGTGAAAAATGCGTCGAGTTGGTGGCATTACTTAGGAATATGGGCAACGTCTCATTTATAGATGGTGAATTCCGGATTTCGGCTGCCAACGCCGTGTGTAGTGATACGGCCCAAACACCGGAGCGGAGGAAGAGTATCGACTCCCACCGGAGACTCGTCCGTATATCATTGTTCTAGAAAACTTGTAGAATGCGTGACCAGACGTTGGACCATGTGGCAGACACGTCTTGTATGGGACTAGCGAGAAAGATCCGCGGCCGAGGAGCGGGTTTAGGGCCAGCACGCTCCTGTTCGATGGACAGCGTATCTACATGTTGAAGTAGAAATTCTCAGTTAGCTATCTCGATTAGATGTTCCGGTCAGCTGCAAGTTGTATAGGTCAATTTGTTCAGATTCAACGGTGTTTCCTAGCATTGTTGCTCTAAGCTGGCCCGGAGATATAGTTCTATATTGTATATATTTCTCTTGTATCTATCCAGTTTCTTGAAGAATTTCTTATATTATATTCTGTGAAAGCTTTACAGTCTGCTATATACTAGTACAACGTTAATCAGTTGAATATAAACTGTTAATAATGTCGGGATTTCCAAAGCAAATCTCTTCCAGCCTGGCTGCTGATCTCTTTAGAATCTGCTATCTTAGATCTTCTATATGCCCTAATTCCCCGGAATCGGTGTATATCGAAGCCTTCTAATATGTAGCTAGAGATCAGCAGCAGAGCAAGACGACAGCCTCCACCCAACTTTGGCGTGCATATACAATAAATCCTGCCAGGGCATGTCCACCCATCTGATATAACAGGATAATGATTGGTTAACTACATCTCCCCACAGCATATAAACTCAAGCCTTGCCCAAGCTAGAGACCATTCATCATCGATCGGGCACCTTGGGTATTACGATCTACATACCTGGTATTTCCACCCAGCAGCCTTGTCACGACATTCAGCCCGGACATGAACGGATGATCGGCAGAGAGGAGGAAGCAAACCCCTCCTCGCGTAGACAAGGCTATCCCTGCCCAGCTTTGAACTATGCTTGTCAGGCACTGCAAGGCTCTCTCTCTCATCCCCTCCTCGCCTGGTTTCTTGCGGCTGAACGGCCGGGTCGGGGCGAGTCATGTTTGCCCCTATCCCCACAACCCACGAAGAAGCAAATGGGACTGGCGCAGACAGAGTTTATGTGGTGGTCATTTGCTAATACCGAATGCTACAGTGATTAACTCAGCCGAATTGCTCGCGCTAGTTGCTTAGTTGGTCAATTATAGTCCCGGTTATAAAGGATGGAGGAATCCCCGAGCGTTTGGGGATCGTTCGAACGGCTCCTCTTCCTCCTCCACCGGATGCGACGATCGATCCGCAAGGTGGTGGTCAGGTTCATATTGATTTGGTACCGAAGAATCATCATTTGATTTAAAAAAAGAGAGAAAAAATAATAATAATAAAAATAATAAAATAATATTAAAAAAAAAAAAAAAAACTGATTTCCACTTGCTTCCTACCATGCCTCCTCCACCAGTCGCCAAACCATCCCCATCGCAAGCCGACTATATGGTCGGTTGGATTTGCATCATCCCCGAAGAGTACTATGCAGCCCTGGCAGTCCTGGACGAGCAATACGACTCGAGCCATATCGTCCCTGGCCAGGGCGATCGGACGTCGTATGTTTTGGGCCGCATGGGAGAGCATGCGGTGGTCATCAATGTCCCGGCAGCGACTCACTACGGCGAACTCCACGCGAGCACGACTGCCAAAAACATGAAGAGTACATTTGCGCGGATCCGATTTGTCCTCCTCGTGGGAATCGGCGGGGGCATACCTTTAGGGCGTGATCTCCGCTTGGGCGACGTGGTTCTGGGGACTCGTGTGATCCCTTATGCGTTCGGCAAAGAAACGGACTATGGCTTTGTGCGAACCGGCCAGATCTTGAGTCCCCCGCAGACCCTGTTAACGGCAATCACCGGTCTGGAGGGCCGTCGGAGATCCAGGGCAATCGATCTTTCTCGGCGGATCGAGAGCATCGGTGACAAATATGGGAGCGGGCAAAGCGACTATGCCCGGCCAAGCGAGGATCGACTCTATGAATGGAGATACACACATGAAGGGAGAGATTGCGACTGCCTGAAGCCTAAAGCGGAGCTGATTAGTAAAATGCATCCACGCGAGCAGCGACGGGGTGACCTCGTTCGGATACATCAAGGCAACATCGGAACGGCAAGCGTGGTGATGAAGAATGCAGACGTGCGTGACAGGCTTGCGAGGCAGGAGAACCTGGTTTGCTTTGAGATGGAGGCAACTGGGGTCATGTCAAACGTCGCTTGTCTCCCCATTCGGGGAGTTTCCGACTATGCGGATGGACATAAGAACGATGCCTGGCAGCCGTACGCTGCGCTAGCTGCAGCCGTATGTGCCAAGGAGCTTTTGGCGATGATGTCCCCAAAGCATATTATTTACTCGCCGCTGGAGCTGGATGGCCCGGAGTTGGAAAACTATGTGACGGGCGCGATCGCCAGCTCTTCCCGTCATGGCGATGATGTACACCTCATACGGCAGAAAATGGAAGCGCTGATGGATCGACATGAGCTCGTTGAAGAAAGATTGGCCCCAGAGTTAGATAAATTGAAAGATATGTCCCGTGCAGACCTTAAAGAAGTGAGGGACAAAGTGAAGGGCCTGGAGGGGCTGCAAGAGATGGTGAAGAACTCCCTGCGGGATCTGACGGTGCAAGTCGAAGAACACATGAACCTCCACCTGGAGAAAGATTTTGTCACTCGAGAAGAGTGGCTGGAGCTCAAGATGCAAGTGGATCGCAACACCTCCAAAGTGGAAGATTTGTCCAACATCACCCAGGGGGCGCTGACCACCACGGAGCAGCTGTTGGGTGATCTAAGCGGAAGGCTCGATAATCCAGAGCTCGCCTGGTTCAGCAAGTGGGCGGCATATGCGAACCAATACTATGGCCATCTCGCAAATGTCGCCAGGGCCTTTAATAAGGACAAAACGGGACGAGTAGCCGAGGATCATGAGCAGATCACCACGACTCAGGCTGGCAGTTCCAGGGGACCGCACCAAACTGGAGAAAGAACCCAGCCGGCTGCAGACTCTACCAGCACAAAAAAATGGACGCTGCCCAAATTCAAGGGGGCTTCAGATGCCTCCGATCACAGCCCATCACGACTACTTTCATTCCGCTTCGGACGTGCCAATCCAACCCCCTCATCATCGAGATCTCCTACCACGTACCAAAATGGCGAGGATAATACGGGCAGCGGCCGCTCTCGGTCCCCTGCTTCCACCGACAGTCTCTCGGCAGCATCGAGCCCTCCCCCAAATCAAAACCAAATGCATCGGGATGCGGTGCTCCACCGAACTGGTTCTTCTCAAGCTTCGGCTCAGACAAACGTGACGGTGCCCACCCAAACAGAACATGTTTCTACCTTGACAGATCGGAGCGACACATCAGCTGCATCAACCACTTGGGGTCAGATCTTATCCCGGAATCAGATCGTTATTCCTCCTGTCCACGAGAGCAGCCCAACCTTGACTGGCACTCCTCGCCAACCAACGCACCCACTCTCTCCGGCAAATCGAAACCCAGAGCAAACTTCCGAGCACAACATTGAGGAGGGCGATCCAAGTAAGCAATCACTGAGTGAGAAGATATCAAAGTTTGGTGGTGGTGGCGGTTTCATTCGTCCAAACCGATCTGGCAGAGAGAGATAGTAAAACATGGCCGATCAGTCAAGCCTAAGGTAGACTAACAGCGGCGTTATTGGAGGTGTTTGCATGAAACTTCGTCACGGGTTGTAACGATCGAAAACTGTATCTTGACCCTCTAACCTCTCTTGCCTTGCAACTTAGCGTTATTTGTAGGGAGGTTCATGCTATTATAGGTAAAGTAAGGATGTCTCATATGAAACATGAGGTTGTAGACCAAAAGCCGACGAAAACTATGCCGTAAGCTCGGAGTCGGTGGTACCTAATTGGCACCGCTTACTTATCGGAAAACAGTTACGGCACTCTTCTCGAGAGCCATTTTAAACTGAAAAGAGCAAAGTTTTGAAGACTGCACGTATATGGATGACGATGTATATGTGCATCAAGAAAAGTCTATATATATACACGAAAGCCAGATGTCAGGGGGGGGTATATGTAGGTGCCTATCAACGATTCCAACCAACTTCAATCAAAGCAACACAGTGTAGGTGGACTCGCTTGAAACAAACATTATATAACAGAAGTCAAAGGCCCTTCTCGAGGCAGTATAAAGGTGGACTCCGACCAGGGAGTATCATATGTGGCAAAACAAAGTAAAAAAAAAAAAACCGACTATGCATCAAGGACATTCATGGTAGGGTCCAGGTCCTCGCCCGCGTTGGCTAAGGCGCTCTGCAGTGCACTCGTCAGGTCAATGTGGAAGAATGGCCGGTTGAGACCCTGCACCATGGCGACTCGTCGGCGACTGCGGTAGGCCTTGCTGTCCTTCAGGTCCCGTTGCAACTTGTCGTCCTGGGTGCTGCTGGCATCGGACGATTCTTCGATGCCGTGGGTCTCACGCTCGGTGGTCTCGGAATGGTGCTTGAGGCCATGCTCGAGGTCTTCGCTCTTGATAGCATGCTGGGCGTGTTCGTTGTTCACCATCTCTGCATGAGCTGCAGCAGAGGCACTACCTTCGATCTCAGCCACGCTGAAAATGGGCTTCCACCTATGGAACCCTTCACCCGCATCCGGAGATGGGAAGCCGAACCCAGCTGCGGCAAGGGCTCGTTTCGTCCAGCGGTTGTTAATATGCGCAAAGTGCCATTGCACAGTCTTGGGCGAAGCGTAGAGATCGAGTTGGTTGCGGACATCGATGAGGTTCTGGACGGAGGTCACATCAACATTGTTGACGGATGAGAAGTCCAGGATGACAGCCTTCAGGATGGGCAAATGCGAGTGGTCTGCTTCGGACTTGCCCTTGCGAGGGCCTGGATTATTCCATGGCCGATCACCCGGTTTACCGTAGGAGAACGGATTGGTGCGACGAGTTTGCTTGAAAATAGTCTGGACCAGATAATCGGTGTAGTGATTGGCATTGGGGTAGTTGAATCCTTCGGAGAACCGGTAGATGAAGATACCAGGGTAAGGTTGCTGCACCTCCACGTCGGGATTCGATCCGTCCGTGTGGTTGATAGGCAAGAAAATCGACCGACTCAATCCGTCTTTGTCATCGCTGTCAGAATGGGGGGAGTTGGCAGACCCATATTTCCCATCATCCTGTACCAGGTGGTCACCAATCACTGAGTGAATCGTGACTCTTCCTAAGAATTGGCCGCGGGCCTTGGCGACGCGGAACAACAGAATGGCAACAGACACACAAACGGTACAGTAGATGCCGATCTCAATCGTGGTGAAGATGGTCACGATCACGCCGATAAAGAAAATGATGGCATCCAGGGGGGACACGCGCCAGAACTGGTACACGGTGTTTGGTGGGGTGATGAGGTCACCGACCGCATGAATAATGACTCCAGCAAGGGAAGCTTTCGGGATGTAGAAGAAGACCGCGGGCAGAGCGTAAATGGCGAGGAGGACAACAATGGCAGTGATAACACCGGCGAGTGGGGTGCGGACACCAGCTTTCGATTTGATTGCAGTTCGGGAGAACGATCCAGTCGCAGGGTATCCACCAAGGAACGGCCCAAGCAAGTTCGACACACCGATAGCAACCAGCTCCTGGGATGGATCAATGGTATAGTTGTTGACACGACCGAAGGATTTCGAGATCGCAATGTGTTCGATCAGGAGGACAATAATCGAAGCAGGCAGCTCGTTCGCAAAAGTCTTGATGATCCTCGCATTCACCTGCGGGACAGCCGCATGTTGAAAACCACGAGGAACGCTGCCCAGGAGCTTGAATCGCGGATGATCCCGTCGGTGCAGGTTGACCGCGGCACTGATCATCGTATAGAACAAGATCACAAACACTGTCCGCAAAGTCGAAACGAAGAACCAAACCTTGGCGTGACGGGGAAACTTCTTCGCGCCATAGTTACAACCCGAGCGGATAATGTACAGCATCGCCAAAGCACTGACACCCATGGCGGCATCAATTTTTGCGGTGGGAAGATACTTGAGGGTGTTGATGATAACCATGTATGTAGAATCTTTCGTCGAAAAACTGGCCGTCTCTCCAAGCATATCCTTGACCTGGCCGGAGCAGATGTTGATGGCAGAACCCGTCATGAAAGCAGAAATTGCCGGTAGAGGAATGAAATCCACGATGAATCCGAGTCGGAGCAGGCCCATAGCGCAAACGACGGCGCCACAAATGACAGCCAAACAGGATGCGATTACATGCGTCTCGACATCCGGGATCTTCTTCTGCGCCTCGGCCACTATCGTACCTGTCAGGGTAGACATGACAGCCACCGGCTGGACAAGGAAGATACTAGATCAGCAAGAGATCCGCTGACATGGACACAGAATGACTTACACCAATGGTGATATCTTTTGAGGTGGCGAAAAACCAATAAATGAGAACACCCATGAACGAGGAATAGAGACCAAACTCTACCGGTAAGTTTGCCAGTTTAGCATAGGCCATTCCCTGCGGAACCACCACGGCACCGACCGTGACACCTGCATTTCAATCAGTATGTGGTCTACTTGTAGATCAAAGCAAGCGCCAAGGAAAGGCTCTTACCGGCAATCATATCTCCCAGAAGCCATTGCAAGTTGTACCTCGTAATCCACGAGAGGAAAGGGAATAGTCTGTAGAAATAGCTGCCTACCTGAGCCCAGGAAGGGCAGATCTCCTTCAGCCATTCGGCGGACGTGGGTTCGGGCTCCAGATAGGAATATGTGTCAATGGTGCCGACGGAGAACATCGACTCGCCCCGGGTGACTGGGTCAGCACCAGCTCCCAAAGGGTCACGATAGGGGAGCTTGATTCCCAAGGCCTTGGCCACGCCGTGGCCAACTTTGGTTTTGAGATCGCCCGACATGGTCTCCGGAGTTGATGTAGGATTGGGGCGGGACTGCCCAAAGTCTACCACTATAGATCACCCCGTGGTTCTTCGGAATCCAGGAAGTATGAGGTCAAACAGCAGTAGGGTGACTTGGAAGAAGGCCGGATGGAGGAAGGAAGAAAAGAAGAGCACAGAAGACGTTGATAAGAGAGGCTGATGTAACACTGTGTTTAAACAAGGTCCATAGTCAGAGCCTGTGGAGAATTGAATATCGAGGAAAATGCGGCAGAGTGGATAAATTTAAGGTGAAATGACGGGACAGCCAAGAGCGATGTCGTGATCCGGAGCAGGGAAGTCGAAATGTTAGCTTCCCACAACAGCACTTTAAAATCCCACTAATTCTGCAGTTGTTTAAACCGAATCGAGAGATGTAATTTAATCTTAAATCACAATACGAAGCAAGGAAAAAGAAAACATGGGATTATCAGAGGCGCGAGAGGGTCAGCCAGCGTTCGGTGGCGTAGGAACCTGACGTCCACCGGATAAAGAAAGATGATCAGGAAGAGGCAACAGAAAGGCAATACGGGGAGGAAAGTTCGGTTAAGTAAATAAATTCTCAAGTGATCGACTACCTTAGATAAGTCAGGCAATTGATGGCAGGGGGGGTAGAAATGTGGGTGGATATCTGCCAAACGGTACGAACAATATGGAATCGATCAAGGGAGATGATCAAACGGGGATTGATAATCACTGATGGTAATAGCGCTATCCCCGTTCTAGGAACCCAGAGGAGAATGAGCTTCATATGGATTCCGAGTAAGAAATGAAATCAAATCAAATTAATCCAAGGAATTTGGACCGAGAGCATCCCTTGCCATTGGGAGCGAGCATGGGCACAAACGCGCAGCGATGGGGCACATGATCCACTATGGATCGCCAAGGGCAAAAGTCCTGAGCGGACGCAACTCAACATCCTGACTAGTGTAGTATGTTGGAGGTGTATCAAACTTGTCGGAGAGTGCTGGCGTAAGAGCCGTTTAGGTGGACTGGTTGACGAGGGCCTGGAAGCGAGAGATGACGCCGAGCCGTGGAGCAGGGTTCCGCTCCTGGTTACCACCCATGGACGATCAGTATCTGAATGGCAAAAGTCAATCGGCTTCTGATGTCTCCTCTGACTCTCCAGGGTATCTGGATCACTTCAGACATGAAACCTGTTCGCAGACTCTCCACCCGTAGTTTAATTTACCCATGCGGACAGAGTTCACGTATGGCTATGTCTCTACCGCAAAGCTTCGAGGAAAGAAACACCACCACAATGTTTGATATATTGCCAAGAGTGACCGCCCACCATGAATGAGCGAGCTTGCAGAGGATAGACGAGCGCAAGCAGCCAATGGAGAGCTGCCCGCGACATCATCCGCCGCCGACCGGACTCCACCGCCGGCGTCCAGCCCAATAGGAATCGCGGCAGAACACGCCATCGTTCACTTTGATGGTGAAAGCCCGACCGGTCCACGTGTGGGATTGGCTTCCATGAAATTTCTTTTTCTTTTCCATATGGCTTTTTATTCTTTTTCCTTTTTCTTTTTTTATTCTATTTTTTTTGACTTTCTTGCTAGTTTTTTCTTGGAGGCTTGTCCTGAGTCTAGCGCGGCAGATACGTAAAATTACTGACGACGATGCTTAAACCCCTCGAAAATAAACACATCTATCTGTCGCTTCGTCTAAAAAAAAAAAAAAAATTGTTTGATGTGTCGTCGTCATGGCGGCCCCCGTAGTCGTATCAGAAGTATGGAGTTTCCCGTTCATTTACACAGCACACAAGCAGCCTCGGCCAGTTCTCCCCCTATCAGGCCCAGACATTGCCGAAAGGGGCTTGGCATTCTGGGGACTCTGGGGCGACTTTGTTCGGTAGTCAACCTACCAACAACGGCAAAGATGGACCATATCTATGGAGTATATTAGACGGGCATTATGATGAAATCTGCTCACGTCCGCTGCGTGACATTAAGGTATAATCATCCTAACCTAGTTGGGATCCCAATATAAATTAGCCTTCTTATTAGTTTAATTCAAGGTAAAATACTTTTTCACCAACGAGGTGACAGCGAAACTTCATAGTCCACTCCCAGTGGAGCCAGTTCACAGACAGGCAATCGAAACGGCCGCATTGGCCTTGGGGTGCATATACAGCTCATGGATGATGATCCTAGTCTGGACGGTGCTCGCCAATGAATCCTCACCACCTTGCGTTACGCTCCTGCACGTCGTCGAGCTTCTTCGGTTCTCCACTCTAACACCATCCAGATCAAAATCGCGTCATCGATCTTGTCACCCCCAATTGTCCAGTGTGCGCTCGTTTCTCGACAACCCCCTGGTTAACCAATGCAGCTACTAGTAGTGAATATTGCCTGACACGCACATATAATGGAACCATAACCAAGGGCTCAGGAACAACACTCTCCATCAGGGCGCCGGTATACCTCAGCTGAAGACCAGTCCTTCCCCTTTCAGCCTTCGGTATGAGGGATGGAACAGTTGGAATACACTTTCTCAGTGGGATCAATGGCGCATGCCACTACAGACTAGTATCGTCCTAGTTGAACCTATTCCGCGGAGGTACCGACGTCTCGTATCGCAATCCCATCGTTCAATGATCAACAATCTCACCATCCGTTTCGCATCTTACGAACGGATCCCTGCCACACCACCCTTGCTGCGAAGGCGTGCTTTCGATCTGGCACAGGGTCATGCAAGACCCCTGGTAGCAAGCGACGCTTGACCCCAGTAAACTTCTCAGTCGTCTGACAAGTGCACGTCCCATGTCCCCTCTGGTAAGCATCCAATGTATATAGTTCGACATCAGCACGGACGTCCAGCTTCAGCTTCGCCAGATTAAAGTATATGAGGTCATTTCTATCCTTAAATTCGTCTGTCTTTCCTAGTTTTGATTATTCCCTTTATCCGCCGAGAGGGTCAGGAAAGAAAAATTCATCATTACCAGAATGAAAAACCACATGGCACATTCTGAGCATGCGATCTCCCCAGCATACACACTTAGCCGTGGCGAAGGATACTAATGCCCTCGTGCCCGCCCTCCCATCCAATTGCCCGGTTGGATCTTTGTTTCGTCTTACGTGATAGACTTACTCGGGCACATTTCAGCTCCATTGAATGTTACCCTCAACTAGAAAAAAAAAAAAAAAAAAAAGGATGGGAGATGTTGACCGTCGTTGGATCATCCGGACACAGATGGACGTCAACAAAAGTCGCTGATCACATGGACCAATCACAGGCGGGGAGACTTCAATACTTCGTTCTTTATTATTAACTCCTACTAATTCAATGTGGCTTTGATGCTCGCCGCAAGAGCCCCAAGTCCCACCTGACTTTTACCCCAGAGTCGATCTCGAGCTAATACGGGAAGCACAACTGCATTGGACCTTATGCATGGGCTCTTCAATCGGTATGCACTCGGCCATATCGGCCTACGGTTCACTCCGCATTTTATGTTCCATTGCATCTAGCACTCTCTCACAGATATACCCAACCACCGACGAAACTACAAAGCATCGGTTTCGCTATACTAACCAACAGACCTACCCCATAATATCCTCACCACCCAGTGAGAACTACGAACTAACCACAAAGCCCTAACCACCAGACCGAACTAAACAAGGCCACCCGCGAGACAACAACGAAACCCCGCCAAAAATGCCTTCACTAACAAACTCACCAACGCTCCTGACGTCATCGCACATCCTGACGCCCCAAAACAATAAACCAGATGGAACCAGTGATCATCGTGCTTAGGCATGAACACCGCTCGCTTCGAGAAGAAATCCCCACCAGCTTTCGATCATGCGACCAGCGATCCCCATATGCCGATGCACACGAACGAGAAGCGCACGCCGAGTTGTTGTTTCTTGAGGCTCGGCATACAGGAAGGATGAACAACAAAATAAAAAAAAGAGCCAAACGAAGCCGAATCGCTTATTCAAGGAGAGCTGAAACGGAACGGGTCGTGTGGCGCACGGATCGCCCGCGCACCAGAACAGGTGATTGTGAATGGATCTGTTGACCCTTCGGAGATATTAGATGGCGGCTGTGGTGATATTATGGTGATATTATGCTGGTGATTGTGCGGGATTGGATCTTACGTAGCTGCTGTTTGGTTAGGGATCTTGAGACATTTGGTCATGGGGGCTATGAGGTATGATGCAGGAATGCGCTCTTTTCTGCGAGTCCGTGGGATGATGGTAAGATGGTAAGATGGGCTGTGAGGAGGAGGAAGCGTGCGCATAGGGAGTAGGGGCTTCTTGATACACGTGGTTGCGCACGATTCTCGAGGTCATTGAGTTCTCATTCTCACGCGAGGTGATGCGTTGAATCTCTGTTATACAGTCTTTATACCCTTGCCAATATGGTGACCAAACAGATGGTTAACCAAGAAATCGTCCAGATTATGGGCAACACTAATGCCACGAGCAGTAAGTATGCTGGGAATCGCCAGTGTAGCCAGGGGAGCGCAGGCATCCGCTGAGCTACAAGCAGTTTTTACTAAGGGCCATTACAAGACAAACACTTGGCAGATAAAATGGAATATTCAATACCCAAACCCACGCTGTAGTCTATAATGTTGAAACACGCTCAACCCCTAAATCGACCCACCATAACCCATCCCGAGTCAACTGAAGCGATGAGCGGAAAGGGAAGAAGAAATGAAATGTTGACTCGTTTACCATGATCTCGTCCATCTCATCAGGTACCATACCCTCCATTCCCCCATAACAGACAAACAAGAAATAGAATATTATGCATGGGAATCAAAGCTTGATGATGGGAATGTAAAATGAACCGACACGAAATCTCCCGCATCATCTTCCGGGTCTTCGAGAAAACGCCATTGCAGAGTAAATCATCAAGCGAACAAAAGAATTAAGAACCAAGCAATACCAGGGCTGAGCTCCCGCATGGTATCATAAGCGATTTCAGTAATGCCCTAGCACAGCAACTTAATCAACCACAGAAAAAAGCCCCCTCTTTACTGAGAGGCGCACTGCACTCTCTCAGCGCCAGGAGGAACGTCGTCGTCATCCTCGTCCATAGAACCAGCACCGTGGGCGCGTGCCTGGGAGTACTCGCTAGAGTCGACATCCTCCAGCTCGAAGTCCTCCACCATGGAATCGGCAGGTGCCTGAGGCTGCTCCATGCGAGGGGGCAGAACCTGTTCCAGAAGGTTGAGGTTGCTGAGCTGATCCTTCTCGGGGAACTTGACATCAAACTGAATGTAGAGGTTGCCAAAGTCATGGTGGCGGAATGACGGCATACCCTGACCCTTGATCACCTTGATAGCGCCTAGAAAGTCAGTGTGTTAGTGCTCGCTCCTCAACTAGCGTAAATGAGTGGGAGAAGTAACATACCAGGAGTGATAACCTCGCCAGGTGCGATGTTCACAGTCAACCAGCGGTCATCGAGGTGCTCAATGTTGATGTTACCACCAGCAAGAGCTGTGAGAAGATCGATCTCAGCGTGATAGAAAAGGTCGTCTTCCTTACGCTGGAAGCGGGGGTGAGGCTTCTGTTCAATCTCGAAGACCACATCTCCGGGCATGACGCCAGGCATCTGGTCACCCTCCCCACGGAATTCGATCTTGTGGCCGTTCTTGACACCCTTGTCGACATGAACGTGGAGGACCTTGCGCTCGACAACGGTCTTCTTACCATTGCAGCGCTTGCAGCGGTCGCGCTCCCGAATGGTCTCACCCTCACCATTACAGTCTGGGCAAACCGTCTGGAACCGCTGGATCATAGGTCCCATTTGGCGCATCATAGTCTTCATACCGGAACCATTGCAGCCGCCACATGACTTGACGGCACCTTCCTTACCACCACGACCATCACAGCCAGGGCAAATGACAGACTTCTGCAGAGCCAATTTCGAAACCTTTCCGCGGTAGATATCCTCCAAGTTGACCTTGTGAACGTGGTGGATGGTGCGGGCCTTCTTGGGGCCCTGCTCCCGCATACCACCACCGAACATACCTCCAAAGCCGCCGCCACCGCCAAAGAACTGGGCAAAGAGATCCTCTGCACCCATTCCACCGGCGCCACCACCATTTTCAAGACCTTCCTCGCCGAGCTGGTCGTAGAGAGAACGCTTCTGGGAATCGGAGAGAATTTCGTAGGCACGGGAAAGCTCCTTGAACTTTTCAGCGGCATCGGGGTTGTTTGCGTTCTTGTCTATGGGAAACTGTCAGCAAGTCCGGTCGTAACACATCCGCCCCAACTGGTTATTGGAGCTGGACTATAGGCGACGTACCAGGGTGATATTTGAGAGCGCCCTTCTTATAGGCGGTCTTCAGTTGAGCCTCTGTGGCTGTCGGGGCAACCTGATAGCCTCACCGTTAGTTCGAACACGGGGGATTCAGCGGCCGCCCATAAGTGTACTCACCCCGAGAACGTCGTAAAACTTGGTTTCCTTGACCATTGTGAAAGTGTGTCTAGTGGTATAATAAGAAAGGGGTGGCTTGTAGAACAATTACAAGAACCAACGAATCAAGGCGGAGAAGAAAAACTATAGAAACAAGAACTTTTCTAGTGAAATCGTCACGGAAAGAGGGATTCGTTCAAAGAGAGGAGAAATTCGCCGGTCGGTTTAGCCGGAACGAAGGGTCTATATGGTGGGAGGGGGCCTCGGGAGGGTGGTTGAGAGGCGGGTTTGTTGATGAGAAGAAAAAGGATCTGACGGCCACTTCGAGGTTATCAAGACAGGAGCGGCGACTGACGGGCGTACGATGGTAATTTCAATACCAGGACCAGGCACCAAAGGCGTCTTCACGGGGCGAATTTTTGCTGATTAAGATGCCAAGCCTTGTGCAATCTCTGTAATATGGTACCGGAGATACGATAAGGCGAAAATCCGAGGGCACTGGCGATCTTTCTCCAGAGTATGTATCTATGGCCCTTCCCTTGGGGTATCAAATAAAAAGGTCAAGGGGAAGTTCTAGGGGCAGGCTGGTGAAAAATCAGTCGAAATAAAACTGCAATGGAACTGTAAAAAGAGGTTCTACCAGGCTTTTCAAGCACAAAACGATAGGGGCCTCATGTTCATGACTTGCAGCCCGATTGGCTTTGCTTTCCCCTTCTGGCTGCTTCGACCGCCCTGTCACAGGCTGAATCCACGGCTCGAGCGCTGACTCTCCCTTTCCATCTGATTCTGTCGGCTTCCACCATCTTCGCTGCCTTTCTATCGAATCGGTAATTCCTTTGTTATGATACGACTGTTACAATGCGTCCAATGAACTTTTACCCTGTATCAGCTTTCAGATACCGGTTCCTTACGGCGGAAGATTCACAATGTCAAAAGTCCCTTTCCATCTGCTTCCATAGAGCGCTTATGTATTACGAAAAACGTATTATTATTATTAGTGTGTGAGAAACCATTTATGAATGGCATAACATGAAAAATTCCAGTTATGGGTGATCAAGGAAGGCCTTAAACTCTATGAAGCAAATATCTCGCAGGAGGCGATTTGTGGTTCTGAATCTTGCAGATTAAGTATAGAATGCATACTGTGTGGATGAAGATCTGGCTCCCTGGATTTTGGATTTTGGAACACTTATTTTTTGAACTTTTTTTTTTTTTTTTGGTGGCACAGCCGACTTTGCCCCAGGCCGACAATGTGGCGGCGGGACGACTAGTCAAGTTTTTCCTTATCGATAAGCACCAGTATCCAGAAGTGGAAAGAGGGGTGTTCATGAGGGGATTGAAGATATCCATAAATATAACGATAGTTATAGTTGATGACAGGAGAAGAATACTGAGATATTCTACAAGCTACGACATTCTTGATTGATAACTACTAGTATTGTACTCTACATATAGTGTGTTATAGCCGTTGTATGCTTTCTAAGATTTATGCCGAAACGCCCCGCATCGTCAAATATATAATCAGCAAATGAATAACCTGCACCAGTAGACAATTGACAACCAACGCAACTTAAACCTCGGATTGGAAATAGAACTTGACAAGTTCATTGTATCCTGAGCTTATTCCAGGAGGTAGAATCATCAGCCATCACAGACATTGCATACAATGGCAACTTTCACTCTCAAGGACTCAATCACTACACAGAACGTATTCTTCATGAGGGGGAAATCATCCGAATGCTTATCAAGATCCCTCCGCCAACAACAAACCGTGGCCAACCGTTGCTGCGGGTCAAGCTAGAACCAGAACGGCAGTTGACCACCAGATCGAATTTTGCCCGACAGTTGGGTTGGAACCCATAACAGCTTATCTCTACGTCCTACTTGTTTTCTAGTTCTCCAATTCGAGTCTGTATTTCCCTCTACATCCCATAACCCATATCAAATCACATCCAATACAATGGAGTCAGATCCTGGATTCATTGCTGCCCTCGAGGAGGCAAAGCAAGGTTACGCTGAAGGTGGAGTTCCTATCGGCGCGGCATTGGTCTCCAAAGATGGCAAAATCCTTGGCCGTGGACACAATATGCGCGTTCAGAAGGGGAGTGCGACATTACATGTTAGTCAACCACACACCAGTTCAATAACCCCTAGGTGATCGGAAGGATGCCTGTGGCTTACTTTAATATAACAGGCCGAGATGTCTGCTCTGGAGAACTCAGGCCGCCTTCCTGCTTCGGCCTATGAAGGTGCTACCATGTATACAACCCTGTCTCCCTGTGATATGTGCACGGGTGCCTGCATTCTCTATAAAGTGAAGCGCGTGGTCATTGGAGAGAACAAGAGTTTTATGGGCGGGGAGGAATATCTTAAGAACCGTGGCAAGGAATTGGTTGTCTTGGACAACGAAGAGTGCAAGCAGCTGATGGAGAAATTCATGAGGGAGAAGCCGGAGCTCTGGTAAGTTCTTTACTTTTAAACATTGCTTTTGGATCATGACAAGTCGTCGATAACGTATATTGTTTTACCGCCCATCCCCCAATCTCAAATGATAGTAACTGACTATGGACGTGTCAAAAAATGTAGGAATGAGGATATTGCCGTCTAAGCCGTGGATGTATCATAGGCCAATCAGCCATTCGCCGATGAGCTGCAGGGTATGAGGAATCGCAGTGTACATAGTCAGAGCCTCAACCCTTCAGAAATCATCGCCATGATCATGTCATACGCTTTGATTAAGCCGTTAGCCTGTGGATCTCCTCAAAAAAGAATTTGAGATCCTCAGGCTTCACAAATGGAGTAATGCCTGCGCAAATTAGCATGTTTTATCAACCTAAATATCATGGGACGTCATTACCATGGCCCAAGTTGGCAATCCATCCTTGCTTGCCCTTCTCGAACCCTTTAACCATGTTCTCGACAACTTCCGTGATGGCAGCACGACCACCGTAGAGCATACCGGGATCAGCATTACCCTGGATGGTGACCCGACCATTCGCAATTCGCCTAGCTTCCGCTGGGTCATGTAGCCAGTCAAGCCCCACAACGTTATAGCCAGATTCACAAAGATCATCAAGTGCATACCATGCGCCCTTGGCGAAAACAGTCATGGGCACTGGCTCCAGTCCCATTTCCCTCAGCCGCTTGGGCAGATTTGCAGAGATATGGCGCAGATATGGGAGCGAGAACGACTTGAACGAGGCCGGAGAAAGTTCACCGGCCCATGAGTCAAAGACCTGGACCAACTGGGCGCCTGCGGCAACCTGGAGAGCAAGGTATTCCACACAGATCTCTGCGATCTTTTGCAACAATGCCTGGGATTCCTTTGGGTACTTGTAGACCCATGTCTTCGACTGAACAAACATCTTGCTTCCGCCACCTTCAACCATGTAGCACAGGAGGGTCCAAGGGGCACCACAGAAACCAATGAGCGGGACACGGCCTTGCAACTTATGCCGGGTGAGTCGGATGGCCTTGTAAACATAGTCAAGCTCCGCCTTAACATCGACCTGCTTCTGCATCACTTTTTCGTACTGTCCGTCGTCCGGCGACTTCAGCGGTTCGGGGAAGTGGGGTCCCTTCTTGTCAACCATCTCAACCTGCATTCCCATAGCCTGGGGAATGACTAGAATATCGGAGAAGATGATTGCGGCATCGATAAGCCCTGCATACCGTTCCACCGGCTGGATAGTCAACGTCGAGGCGATCTCCGGGCTGCGGCAGCATTCGAAAAAGTCGCGACCCCCTTTAGCTTCGTGGTACTCGGGGAGATAGCGTCCAGCTATAAGCAGAGAAAACACAACAGTTAGCAATGGCTGGCCCTTTCAGCCTGCATGAAACTACATTGGGGGAAGATAGATAGCAAAAGCGTTAGCGGATATACCTTGACGCATAACCCATATCGGAGGACGCTCGACCTTCTCGCCTACAATTACATCAGCGGCGGCAATTTCTGCTGTTGTCATCTATGATGGAAATACCTCTTGCGGCCCTCAGCAAAAGGTCATTCTTCAATGGAGCGAACTGTTCCTGCATCTTGACGGAGAATAGGATGGATTGTGTGAAGAGGGGACATTGGGAAGAGGGGTGGCTGCATGCAATTCTAGCACCAAGGTCCCAACCGCCGCTCGGCGCCTCGGCCCGCCGCAGTACATGCATCCCAACCCAATTCGGAAACCTTCCATTTGCCAGGCTACATACCAGAGTATGTAGTAATTAGTACTGGTAGTATGTACGCAATCCCTTAATTGTACCATACAAAGGCGTACGAACCGAAACAAAGTTTGCAGCATGTCTACTTCAATAGACTATTTAAATAATAAGTAGTTTAAATGCACAGCGGCCGATTATCCCTCAGTTCTAATCCTCCCCGTGCGTCTTGCGCAGATTGCTCAAACTATAGAACAACTCGTTGAGTTCCTTTCTTTGCTTCGTGTCGGCATCTGCTGGAATGCCAGAGGAGCCACCCAGGTTGATATTGGTAACTAGCGATTCTGTGACCGGCTCCCACTCCAAGTTTTCTGCTCCCAGCTTCACGCGGAACGATTCAATGAGATTCAAGGAGCCTGTTGGGCTGGCTCTCCATTCGTGGGTCGAGCCCTTCTCACGGATAGAGTCCACAGACACAACAATTGTGCTCTTCTTCTCCATGATGGCTATATCTAATACGTTGCCAGACATCTCGATTGGGTCCTGTGTTTTTAATGTGCCATTCGACTCAAGCACGAAGCATTGCAGCTGTGAGGACCTATTGAAGACATTAGACAAGCGGGATATTGACTTAGACTCTCATTTTCACTTACCCATCAAGCGCAACAAGAACAATATTCGATCCGCCGATTGATGTCGCCCATATTCCACGAACTGTGACCTGTGTAGTCTCTGATGCCTGCTCCACTAGGGGGATCTTCTGGAGCATACGGCCTTCGACCCACTTCCAGACTAGCAAAAAGTCGTCTCCTCCGCCAGAGATGAGATATTCCGGAGCAGATTTGGGAATGCAGAGCTTGGTGATGAATGCAGTATGGCCCAGACAATAACCTTCAATAATATGAGCCTGAGGATAGCGAGAGACTCGGATATGCTCATCGCGGTCTCCGGTTAGGATGTAACTGCGCTTTTGACCGGAATTATCATCCCGAGGCACCGTGGCAAACGCAACATCCGTGAGCAATGACACATGACCAAGTAGTAATTGATGCTGGAAATTCAGGCTGGTCTTTTCTTCGGTAGGGTTTTTCTGACCATAGCGCAGCTGCTGTTCCAAAGATTCAAGATTTCGCTTACTATGCACTGTAAGGGGTGTTGCTGCGGGTACCTTTGGCCGATTAGGAAGCTTTGGCGCCACATATGGCTCGTTGCTGGGAAGAAGTGGCAGCGAGTAAACATCCCCGAATTTATCACCACAGAGGATTGTGTTACCGTCATCAGTGAGAACGATACTACATGGCCTCTTCGGCATACATCTGCAGATAGGGTGAGCACTCACTTTTCGTTTAGTTGGCAGGATCGACTAACCTTTCGCTTAATTGTTCAAAAATGCCGTCATCTTTCACGCGGAGGACACGAATGCACTTATCTTCCGCAGTGAGCGCAACCACATAATCTCCACTCGAATGCACAACTAAAATAGGAATGCTGGACCAAGCTGGAGTCTTGACGGGCGATTTGGAAGTTTCGGCAGGTCCATCCTCGGACTGAGAAACCTTTCTCTTCTTCTCTGGTGGTGCATGGTCTTCTGATCCAGTGTCTGTCTCGGTTGGCTTGCAGTTATTTGCATTGCTTGCATCTACATCTTGCGGCCAAGAAGAGAGACGCTGCCCGGTCTCTGCAGTGTAGGAGTAAATCTTGCCCCCAGACGATGCAATAAGCAGCTTCTGGGGTTCTGCGCACTGTCTCTCCAGATATTGGATGCATTGGAATGGAAGTTGGAAGTTGGCAGCCATGTTGTATATAATTGGTCGTATATTGCTTGAAAAGCGAAGGCTGACTCGGCCACGAATATTGTGGTGTCAGAAAATACAGTAGCGAAAGTAAATTGTAGTGCTGCGACCAGTAAAGTACATAAACTACCTCGCGTAAATAGTAATTATTTGGAGGATTAAATTGATATCGTAGACCTCCAAAGTATACCACCTGCTGTACGCGCGCATGCCCTATCTGATTGATCTGCGGACATTTTTTCTGCCGGGCGGAGCAACACGTGACCGTCTCGCTAGCCGAAGCCACAGAGAAACAAAATTCCCCAATTTCGAAGTTCCTTTGATTCTTTTGATCTTCAACGTCACGATTCAAATCGGACAGCAACACACTTTAGAATTATCCCTTGCCCTTAAACATCCTATCTTCACCGAAATAAGGAGACATGGGGGGCAAGTCCGCTACTAAGGCCGCTTACTTCGAGAAGCTGAAGAACCTTCTTGATGAGTACAAGACGGTCTTCATTGTCGGTGTCGACAATGTCAGCTCTCAGCAGATGCACGAGATTCGTCTGAGTCTCCGTGGTGAGGGTGTTGTCCTGATGGGTAAGAACACCATGGTATGTATCTCCATATTCCCACGCAATTGACACCGCAATTGACCGCATTATTTCAGGTTCGCCGTGCCCTCAAGGGCTTCATCACCGACAACCCCGAGTACGAGCGTCTCCTTCCTCACGTCAAGGGTTAGTACAGCTCTTCAAATAAAGCGACATTGAAAGTATCCATGAGCTAATTGCTGACGCGTCACAGGCAACGTTGGTTTCATCTTCACCAACGGCGACCTTAAGGCTGCCAAGGAGAAGATCCTTGCCAACCGTGTCGCTGCCCCTGCTCGTGCTGGTGCCATCGCTCCCGCCGATGTCTTCGTTCCTGCTGGTAACACCGGTATGGAACCCGGTAAGACCTCGTTCTTCCAGGCTCTCGGTGTCCCCACCAAGATCGCTCGTGGTACTATCGAAATTACCACCGATCTTAAGCTCGTTGAGGCCGGCGGCAAGGTCGGTCCCTCCGAGGCTACCCTGCTGAACATGCTCAACATCTCTCCCTTCACCTACGGTATGACCATCGCCCAGGTCTACCAGGATGGTCAGACCTTCAGTGCCGATGTTCTCGACATTGAGGAGGAGCAGCTTCTTAAGGCTTTCAGCAGCGCCATCCAGACCATCACTGCCCTCTCTCTGGCTACTGGCTTCCCCACCCTTCCTGCTGTTATTCACTCCCTCATCAACAGCTACAAGAAGGTTCTCGCCGTTGCTGTCTCTACCGAGATCAGCTGGCCCGAGATCGAGCAGCTCAAGGACCGTATCGCCAACCCCGATGCGTACGCCGCTGCCGCTCCTGTCGCTGGTGGTGCTGCCGCCGCCGCTGGCGGTGCCGCTCCTGCTGAGGAGAAGAAGGAGGAAGAGGAGGAGGAGTCCGATGATGACATGGGCTTCGGTCTTTTCGACTAAACTTCTCGTCTCATTGCGCGGGATACGACCACCATGCTTTAGATACATTTACGGCCAACCTTGACGGTTGGAAAAAATGAAACGAATCTCATGGTCAATTTCTTTTTATCATTCAACTAGATGTGGACGTAGACATACGGCCCACTATCTTCTTGAATTACCTAAGGTGAGCATCTACTTTCTTTAACTCTTCACTTTCTTTTCCTGGAACATCACTCCTTGGCGGATGATGATATTTTTTAACTCGTAGTCACTGTTGTGGCGTTGAAGATCAAAAACTAGCAACAACAAACACTCTAATTTTTTGCTGACCCGCCTCCCATCTATCTTCTTCATCTTACACAAACCTTTCAGCAATATAGATTGCTAACTGTGATTACAGATCATTCAGATACATGTGGTGTCGTAGTATGTGTCGAGTTGGATTCGTAGTACCACCCACGGTGTTTCTGCACGAGGCCCCGGTTTGGGGCTGGATTTTTTACTGTCTCAGATGAAATATACTGCTAGGTAAGAATCATGCAGGGATTATGGATCCTAATCCAGACACTTATATAGCATCATATGTTAAAAATGAAACCATGATCCAAGTATTCGGTATCATACATTGCACCTCACTATCCGTTGTAGCCACGCGTATAAAAACAGAGTATACCCCTGTTGTAGTGAAAAAAAAAAGTAAAGTGGTATACTTGAGACGCAAGAGACGCGCGAAACTATCTGACATGAAGAAGTGAATAAGCCTAATTAATTTAGCTTTGCTTCAGTTACCATCATCACCACTCCTCCCAAACCGACCACCGAATCCACCCAGGTCCCGACGGAAGAACTTTCCAATATTTTTCAGATTCTCGTTCAGGTTGCCTGCAGTAGCGCTCTCAGCGGTGCTTTGTAGTTGTGCGAACGGTCCAGGGGACACAGGGGTGGTGGATGTTGATCCTGGGGTACCGCCTGCGCCGGGATTTCCAGGAGTTCCGAATCGGTCCACACCGTCTTTGGCAGCTGAGATGATGGCAGAGCCTAGCATGGATGGATCGAAGCGGGTGGGGAGGTTAGAGGCGCCGATTGACGCTGCGGCGGTTCCGAGTCCCAGCCCTTGGTTTGAAGAGGAAGCGGGAGTGGTTTGATACGCTGTGAGGGTGGGATTGCTTTGCTGAAGGTTCGGGGCATGACGGTCTGATGCACGGTGGATCTGGAAGAGTTCCACGAGCTGGTTCTGCTCTTGTCGACTGCGGATTCCTTTGAGTTCGAGGATCTTGCGGAAGTTCGTGTTGCTGCTGTCCTTGATGTGGATCAAGTATGCTTGCACTAGAGCCTCTGGAGGCGATGGTTGGACTTGGAGGGTTTTGAGGAGAGTCTCGATTTTCATGAAGTTGTTGTTGACACGCTTAACGAAGGTTGTTGGAGCGGGAGCTGGTAGAAGAGACGAGAGGCCAGTTTTGAGGGTGTATGCGTCCAGGAGCATCTATTTAGAGTTATATGTTAATATCTTGTCCTGTGTTTTGGGATGCAAATCGAAGGGTGATGACTTACTTGCTCCGCCCCGGTCTCCGAGACTGGCTTGCACTGAAAGATATTCGAAACAAATACGTTTGATATCAGCTCCACGACATGGTCCGCGAAAGCTCGGGCGTACTGTTGTTTATGCAGCAATTGCAGAATCTCGGAGGACTTGGCGTTAAGCTTGGTCATGAGTTCACTGACGTACGTGCTCTGATCGCTAACACTCTCAAGCCGATTCCAGGGTGTATTGCGCATCTCTCGCCAGGAGGGCTCTAACTCGACCTCGACCATCCGCACAAGGCACCGAACAGCACCAGACGCAATGCCCATGAATGAATCTGCCTGGCTCTGCAGGTCAACCGATTGTTTCAAATTTTTGTCGAGCCTGCCTTTGATCTTTTCCTCTAGTTGATTGCAGGTGGTGTAGCAGTAATCTGCAGTGTTGAGAACTGAAATGAGGTCCTCCAGAGATGGCACCTTGGATGGAGTTGTGCCGGTGGGCCTCTCACTGATATAGTATAAGAGGACTTGCTGGGCATATTGATCGAGATACTTTGCGAAGACTTTGGCCAAGTCGGCAAGACTCCCACCTGTCGAGAGTTTTGCACATTGTTGTAGACAGAGCCTGTAGAACGTGAAGAGCTCCGTGGAGGATGCTATGACGATATTAGAATCGAACTCCTCATCTGGCGGCCTAATAGGTTGCTGTCGATACTTCGGTAAAAGGGTAGCCAACTGCTTATCTTGAGCTTCAACCCATACGCTTAGATAGGGCTCGAAGGCCTCTGAAATGGCCTGGCCAAAGACAGGTGCTTCAGCTGAGGTGAACGTGTCGGTGGACTGGCGGGATGGATTGACAAACCGCCGCTCCAAAGTATGCTCAAAATCCAGAGTCTCCTGCAAGCAAGAAAGTAATAGGTTGACGTCGATCGTCTGCCCATTCCGCACTGACCGGGAAAGAATGCCCTTGAAATCCTCTCGAGTTCCTTCACAAAATATGTTCGCCAAAATCTCATCAACCCTCCAAGACGTCGGCCATATCGCTGCGTATTCCTCATCGTAGATCTTCAATATACGACGGAACCATGAATACCTTCGCGAAATGTTGTCCAAGGACCCCGCCTCCTCGTTGTTCCTGAACACCTGTCGATACTCCCGTAGCTGGAAATTGCAATACCAGGTCACCAGCCTGGACTTCGCATGCTCCCCCAAAGCGTCCATTACGAGACAGCCCTCCGAAAGCACGACCCTCTTTTGACCCACTTCACCCTTAGCAAACGCCAGCTCAAAGTCTTCACAGACCTGCTCCAACAACTCTCGTTGTATATCTGCCACATTTCTACTAAGAAGAGCGATCTGATCAATGGATCGGTACGACTTGAAGTGCGCCATCAGCTGGATAACCGCCTGCAGTAATTGGGCACAGTCCCGGTACTGCCTTGTCTTACCGAGGGTACGGAGCTGATCGTATGCCGTCGTCAGCATCTGCAGCCTCTTTAGGGCTGTCATGGATTGCGTGAGGTTCTTCTTTGCATTGTCCAGCTGCTTGATATCCGCCGTCATCTCGGTGATGGCTAGCTCCGTCTTGGACGCGCGGTCGCGCACATCGTCAATCTTCTTGAATAACTCCGTCAAATCTGCTTGGGCAGCCTGTATGCGCTCGACGCTTTCCGCATTTGATGTGACTTGTTCCTCCACCAACGCGCCGATCTCGTCGTCCAGCTCATCTTCGTAGTCTAGGAGGGACTGGGAAACGTGGGAGACGGAGGACAGCGTGGAGGGGTGGGAGAAGATGGCATTTAGGTGGTCAATTGGATCGTAGTCCGCTATTGCATAATTAAACAAATGCTCGTATTAGCGGAAATCAATCGGCACGGGTTCGTCTGAGAAGTTCACCTCACCTGCGTCGAGGGGATCGAGATCCGCCGCTCCGTTGGAGGGCATGGAATTGGAGGAGGTGGTGGTGGTAGACATTCCATTAGTTCTCCAGTTTACACCCCGGGTACATGCTGTGTTTGGGATTTCCCGACCATCCACCAGTTCACTTAGGGTACGAGGGAGAGATTAGAGGATTAAACTAAAAATTACAGCAATAAAGGGCTGAGGACAAAAGTGGTCTTGCGGGAAGTTGGCGATCAAGTCCGGGAGGTTGTAACCGCCGAAAGTCAACTTTAGCGCAAATGCGGCTAATTTATTTATGGAGTAGGTATAAATAGTAAATACCAGTAGGTATAAGAAGCTTGACTTCGAGAGATTAGCTCCGCCGCCCTCCATGTCATATACCAATATTGAACCCTCCTTTTACCTCTAATTTTATTTATTCTTTTTTTTTTTTTTTTCTTCTACAGGAATTTGTGAAAGTTGTGTGCTGTTGTTCTGGCCCGTTAGAAGCAGACCCAGCAAGTGATATTGGTCTCACGGGGGTTATCAAATGGATCCCCCTCCCCTTTCTATCTATATGGACATGATCTTCGTCGTGTTTCGAGGTTCAATAAATGTGATATGGTGAAATCTTTCAAACAAGTCAGAGAACCCACAACCGTTCGCCTAAGCCATGCAAACACAAGAAATGCAGTAGAATAATAAATAGTTGAATAAGACTCCAAGCAAACACCACAGCCTCCTCCACTCAAAAATTTTGGGTATGTGAAAAATCAGATATGAACTAGACAGCTCCGGGCAGGAAAGCGTCTGGAGGTAGCTGTCCTTGAGCCTTTACACGGAATTAGTAAACCTCTACAGAAAATGATCAAGCGCCGGAAGGGCTTACCTTGAGCTCCTCAAAATTCTTCAAAGCAGCGTCCAAGTTCCAACCGTTGCCGGAAAGCGCCATTTCAGAGTATGGCAGGGTCATGCCCGTTTTAGCGATTATTTGCATGACCAATTGTTCTTGTTGCACCTGGGCATCTGGCTTGCCTGGTGCCGGCATACCGTAACCATCGGGAGTAGCCGTAGGAACAACCGGTGCTTGGACAGGAGGCTGTCCGGGTTGGGTGGGTTGGACAATTGGCTGCTCCAACATCCATGCTTCATGGCCCCCGTGAGCCCGTAGACAAAGAATATCATTGATCACCCTAATACCACCCATGCCTCCACCAGGTCCAAGGATAAATGTCCGGTCGAAGCTCCGAAGGTCAACCTTGGGTCCATTGATCTCTTCAAATTTTCCATGCACCATGATAAGAAGTCCACCCACGCCAGTCGCGCTCTGTCCCGAAGGATCAGGGAGCCCAGGGATGGGGAAACATTCAATTAGCCATTCTTCAGGGTGAGCTCCAATGTCGGGATGTCGTGTTTGAGGAAGGGTGTTCCACATGTCACGGATTTTGTCCGCACCGACAAAAGAACGAGACATCCTCGCAGGAAGATGATTGATCTTGAGCAGATTTCTACTCTTCTTGATGTAAGGATCCCAGGCCGCAGTCTCGGTTTGCTGGGCTCTTGGAGCAGTGGTATTGACATTCAGCGAGAACGTGGAATTGTTGTCGTATACACCGTTCAGAAGGTCAGTACGGTTGCTGTCATAACCAACAAAGAAGGCCTTGACAAAGTTTTCTCCAATTTGAGATTCGTCCTGGAAATGCGGCGCCTGAACAGGAATCGGTGTCTTCTTCTGCGCAGCCACTTCCTCCGCCGTCCGAACTTCTGTATTATTCAAAAATCGAAGTTTTGGGTACCACTTGAGCATGGTATCCTTGAAAGTAGGATCCGCGCTGAAAGGGGTACCAGAGAGGTCAAGAAACTCCAGATTTCGGAACTTCCACCTCCATCCAATCAAGGACTGAGAGTCTTTGAAGTTATTATTTGATAAATCAAGATTCTTCAAATCGGGGAATGACTGAGCCAATGTCGTGACGACCGTAATATTGGCGAGCTGATTGTCGGCAAGGCTGACACTCTCCACAGCTTCGCGTCGTGCTGTGGAGCTATCAAAATTCATCTCCCATACTTTCATCAACGCCGGGAAGAACTTGGATTCGGTCGATGTGCTATCGAAGATCCCCATTGCCAACAGGTCCGGGTCGCTGCCAAGCTTAGAGAGGTTGAGCAATTTCTGCTGTTGAAAATAGCGTTTGCTCAAGATCGCAGTCATCTTGGATTTGGTATCGGCGGTCGAGGGGGCGCCGCTGTTCCGCGACACTTCGGATAATATCGTTTGGCCCATTCCATTGGCAGACGCATCATATGTCTGAATCGTAAGGGGTGCTCCTGCAAAACTGAAACCATTCATTTTCAGCATCCTGTCCAACAACTCCGGCCGGATAGATACTATAAAGATATCGCCTTCAACCCGCGACTAGTGAACGTTAGTAAGGCGTAAGAGACCTTTTTACCGCCGTCATCCAGAGGAACAAACGCCAAAAACAGCCTGCGATCGTCGTTCTGGGGTACCACTCCTGTAAACGAGAACACACCGGAGAGGACGACGTTGCGAAATCATGTCGGTGACCGTCAGATCTGATGTTGAACATACCTTTGTGATCCTTGCGCGGGAGCCAGCTTTCGAGTCGGATGAGTTGAGTTTCTTTTCGAGAAAGGTGATTAGACTTTCAATACCACCGTCGCGGTTGGACGCTGCTTTGCTCTGTTTCCATCCTTGGACGCTGACTTGTTCCAGATTACTGCCTCGGCCACCTTGTCGGATGTTCGCCTGAGAACTTGTGTTACTCGAAATAGCCTTTTGGATAGCGTCGAGTGCCCTATCGCGGGTGTGGGTTCGTGGTCCAGTAGCGGCCGTGCGGCTAGAATCGCCGCGCGCCTTCTTTACACGGCCTTGAGTAGAGCCTGCGTCCATAGCCAAATCACCATCTCGATCGACTCTTTTTGCTGCACCTTTCTTGCGAATACCCCCGCGATCCGAACCGCCTGAGCGGCCTCGGGAGCCTTTTCCTCCTTTCATGTTGATCGCAGTGGTAATTATATTCGGAATGTGCGGAGAACGGTAGGTATTGAGGGTAGAGTAGTGGTTGGTATAGTTTTCTTTTTTTTTTTTCTCAGGCGGACCTAGCGCTGCGCGCCTGATATTCAGGTCGATCTAGTCGGCATGCAATAGAGAAGATAGTTAGATATAGGAAGAGAGGTAAAGTAGATATTGTAGATGGTGGTGTTCAATATAATGGAAGAAGTAGGATTAAGCCAAACCTCGCGGGTGAGGTCTTTTGAGGGACAGTATGAGGCAGAAGAAAGTCTAGCGGAAAAAGTGACGTGAATCAAAAGAGTCATATCACGTGAGAGTAGAAGAGGTGGATGCCTGCATATCCACGTGATAGCCTACCAGGCACCCATGCAGTGGAGCCACCAAAGTGGCCAATCAGAGACTGCAGTCTGGCCTTTGGCACACAATCGGTAATACATGATACCGATGCCGCCAACTGGGTGGAGTAAATTACGCTACCCGTGACGATTGCTGTTTCATTAAGTGTTTAGTTTCGTATTATATGCATGCAATCTATCATCAGGACAGCTTTGCCAAAAGTCAGGAACCGCAAGGGTAAGTCCAAGACTCTCTGCTTGTTACTGGCGGTCTCCTCGACCTTAGAACTCAACCAATTCGTAAGTCAGATCCCCTCTTTCTTAGTCAGTTATACTTTTGTTTGTAATAGACAAAGCACTCAATTGGGCTCGGGCCACCTTGTCCACTTTTAAGTACGGTTCTAATCTGTCCGATAGAGGTTGTTCCCCCGAGCGCTTACCTTTCCTTCAATTGATTTGAAGGAACTCACATTCCTTACGGCTATCGTAGCCTTTCCGCATGGTCGCTGAGCGATCGAAAAAATGGCTGCGAAATCGCGATTCACGAGGCTCGATGCTTTCGCCAAGACGGTTGAGGATGCTCGCATTCGCACCACCTCCGGCGGGATCATCACCATAGGCTCGCTACTGGTTATTCTATGGCTTGTGTGGGGAGAATGGGTGGACTACAGGCGGGTGGTGGTGCTCCCTGAGTTGGTAGTCGATAAGTCGAGAGGTAAGAGCTAAACAGACCATGGTGTTGGAGTGGGAGGCTGACCGAGTACTGCGCACTTCGCTGTTTAGGAGAGAAAATGGAGATCCATTTAAACATGACCTTTCCCCGGCTCCCGTGCGAGCTTCTTACTCTCGATGTAATGGATGTGTCTGGTGAGCAACAGACCGGCGTGGCACATGGAATCAACAAGGTACGCCTGAGTTCTCCTGCAGAGGGTGGCCACGTCCTTGATGTCAAGGCCCTGGAACTGTAAGTAAAATTTCTCTATCTCGCCCTTGAGACGAGTCGTTTGGCTTATAAACGTTCTATGCAGTCACTCGGAGCAAGAAGCGGCGAAGCATCTCGACCCTAACTACTGCGGCGACTGCGGCGGAGTCCCACAGCCTAACGGCGAGAAGCGATGCTGTAACACCTGTGAGGAGGTGCGAGAGGCTTATGCACAACAACAATGGGCTTTCGGAAAGGGCGAAAACATTGAACAATGTGAACGTGAGGGCTATGCGCAACGTCTGGATGCCCAACGCCGAGAGGGTTGCCGTCTTGAAGGTGTCCTCCGCGTGAACAAGGTGATCGGAAACTTCCATATCGCACCGGGCCGGAGTTTCACGAGTGGAAATGTCCATGTGCACGATCTTGAGAACTACTCCGAGCGTGACCTTCCCGACGCCGAGAAACACACCATGACCCATATCATCCATCAGCTTCGGTTTGGTCCCCAGTTGCCAGATGAGCTGTCGGATCGCTGGCAATGGACCGACCATCACCACACAAACCCGCTCGACAACACCCAGCAGGAGACTAACGATCCTGCATATAATTTTATGTACTTTGTCAAGGTCGTTTCCACTTCTTATTTGCCGCTGGGTTGGGATCCATTGTTCTCCTCAGCCGTCCACAGCGCCTACGAGGATACTCCACTGGGTACCCATGGTATTGCATATGGCTCCCAGAGCAGCATCGAAACACACCAGTACTCGGTGACCTCCCACAAGCGGTCTCTGATGGGCGGCGACGCTGGCGACGAGGGTCACAAGGAGCGTTTGCATGCTGCAAGTGGCATCCCTGGTGTTTTCTTCAACTACGATATCTCCCCCATGAAGGTTATTAACAAGGAGGCACGGCCCAAGACTTTCACTGGGTTCTTAACCGGTGTTTGCGCCATTATCGGCGGTACGCTTACTGTCGCGGCTGCCCTGGACCGTGGTCTATACGAGGGTGCTTTGAGAGTTAAGAAGATTCATTCGAATTAGAAGAGAGTGTCCACAGTGAGGCTCGACCTTCCCGAACCGAGAAGGGGTGGGGGGGGTAAAGAAGAAAAAAAAAGTTTTTTTCTTCGATACATATCTCTATAGAAATTATAAGAGCATGGAAACTTGGAGCAGAGAGCCCAGGAACAGGGGCGGTGGTTTCGAGGGAGGATTTTGACAGTCAAGGCGTTTGGGTACATGTGCATATTGTGATATACTTAGCAGCAAGTGTTTGGTGTTTGGCATCTTTGTATCTCAAGTCTTTCGGTGCTCCTCCTATGAATATTATCAATTCTGGAAGACTACATGGTATCTTTTACGGTTACCCAAGTTATCTCTAGGCCGAGTAAGCCCAACTAGGCCATTTTTCTTCCATATCTACGGAGTAGTTTGTACGAGTTCGATCGAGCTGAAAACCTTCCGGATCCTGAAATGGGGCAATAAGTTCCTCGGACTGAGTAAGTCGCTGATCTAAGGCGCCCGTTCGTTCATTATAACTACACGCATAAAGCAATGCTGTCCCGGAGGTCCAGTTCAAAGAGTTGGGTAAGAAGCATAAAAGAACTGCGGAGGATATATTCAGCAGAGATCCATCGTCTATCTGCATTGTGCTCGCTCAGCAAATGTTATACGCCCATATTTACATGCATATAGATGGCAAGAAGTAGAAAGAAGATGAAAAGGAAAAGAAAAGAAACGAAAAGAAAAGAGAGAGTGAGATCAGAAATAGAAATAGCAAAGATCCTTCCCAACAGGTGAACTTTCATCGCATGGGGAAAATCGCTAATAATTGACGAGCAATGACCGATTTGTCAACGAAGCAAGAACCCAAGCGCCAGACCCTTTCTCACAACTCCATTAAATGCACGATGCGACTGCTGTAAAAGACCGAATACAGGAACACAGCAACTCTTTTCCGAGCAGGAGGGAGATTTGAAAGTCTAGCTCTAGGACGCATCAAAAGGATAGGAAGAAAAACTCGAAGGGGTAACATAAAACAAAAAGAAATCAGCGATGGCTTTCAGGTGTGGTCAAAAAAGTACAAATGAGACGGTGTCAAAATGTTGATCCTAAATGGAAGATGCAGGGTGGAAAGTTAAATGAAAGAAATCAATAATGCATGGCGTTCGCATTGGCAAATTGACCAGATTGCTGGCCGAAGTATTGGCTTTGCTGATACGCCTGAGGTTGCGGGGTTTGAAGTTGCCCATACCAAGATTGGCGTCGGGGCTCCTCGGGTCGGTACGATTGATTGAGGGCATCCCAAGTGTGGCTCGCTGCTGGGATGTTATAAACACTATTCTGGGTACCACTTTGGATGCCATATGTGCTGCCTGGGGCTATCGGATGCTGCTGCCACTGTTGTTGACGCTGGGCAATAGCATGCTGCACCATGTGAGACGACATCCCCTCCATGATGCCCTTCTTCTCACGCTCCCGAGCATCAATAGCACCCACTAATCCCATTGGGTTAACCGGTTGTTGCGGCTTTTGGTTCCCACTGCTGAGATTGAAGAACGATGAACCTGTCATCCGAGCTACATGTTCCTGTTCTCGAGCAGAAAGGTGGGACGAGATATCATTATAGTTGATCATGCTATTGGCGCCGCGAGAACGGGGTCGCCCTTGGCTGTCTCTACCAATGCTCATTTGAGAATGTGATCGGTTGTGAGCCATCCAATCACCGGATACCGGCCGTGCCGGTGGGGTTGTTGCGGTCGTAGTAGAAGAAGTCCGATGATGTACATGGAGTGGTGGGCTGGGGGCTGCACGCTGCTGCACGAACTGCTCTGGTGTGAGACCAGGCGTGACGGGGCGCGCGGCGGCCATACCAGGCTGCCACAAGACACTTCGTCGATACTCATCCTGGCTTGGTGATCGTGAGTGACCACGGTCCATCTGAGAGTATCTTTGTCTTTCGGTAGATTCCGAGTCACTCCTCTGGTGACCGAGCTTCTTTAATGTATCGGAAGTAGTCGGACGCCCAGTCGTTGGCATGAGAGTCATCGTTGGACCGAAATCAACACTGGGGATATCAGGGTTATGTTTCTGCGATACCTGGTCGACGGAATAGTGAGCATCACCAATAACCAAATCCTTCCTCGGCTCCGTTCCAACGGTCTTCATTACGCCCATTCTCGGTCTGGGGATCGACTTAGTAGAACGTTTGCTGTAGACGGATCCACGTGTACTGGCGTAGTCTGGGGAGGTCGTGGATTCATCGTCATAAACGCTTTCGTCCTCCTGGTGACGCTCCTTAACAGGCGAAGGGAAAGACGGTTGGTAAGAGCTGACACGGTTCAGGGCCTCTTCGTCAACAGTATGGCGCAGATCATCAAAGCTAGGTTCAATGGGGCTTGATACGGTAGAGTCCTTGCATTGCTGGCCAGGAACTGGCTTTCTCCGGACGGATTTTGTTGTATCAATGTGAAGGTTGCTCTCATCTAACCTCTCTAGAGGAGGACCGAATACACTGGTCCTATGCTCTGGCGTTGGCGGGCCCTGTTCCTGTGGGCTAGCTCTCTTGTCACTCGATTCCGATAATAGGGAAGGGACACTTGGCATCTCAAACCCAGCGTTATAAGAATCGGTAGGAGTCGGAGTTTGAGGCTTTTGATTGTCAGTTTCTCTGATCTCCTGGCCGTCAAAGGACATGGCGCCGAGCAGATTCATCCGTCCTGAAGC